AACCCTCATCTGAACTCCAACAGTAAGATCTGCCGTGCAATGCTCTAGAAAGGAGAAAAAGCTCTTGGGGGCTGCCATTTTCTTGGCCTCAGGTGTCAGCATGGAAGGACCTCCAGGAGATAAGCCTGCTTTTACTCTCTCTAGTTCCATTATTTATCCCCAGGGGACAGGGAGTGATATATCTGATTTGGGAGTTTAGGAGAAAGAATTAGACAACAAAGCTCAGTCCCTTCTGTTTTTCTTTTTTAATTTTTCCAGGTCTGCATTCTGCTTTGAGGTAGTAAAGCAGCCTGTGCCTGCCAGGAAGTCCTGCTCTTAGTCCCGTGAAGTGTTCCTGGCTCGCAATTTAGATGTTCCATTTTGTAAATTATACTACACTACCTGTTGAATTAAGACATGAATTAAGGAACCAAATAGCATCACTCCTTTATTTAGGCTGGAATTACCTGATTTTATGGAATTCTGGCTTTGCCACTTACTGAACTGATTGCAACTTTGCAAAATTTGCTTAACCTCGCTGGACCTCGGTGACCTCATCTATCAAACAGTGATATTGAGAGTAGGGTTGTTGTGACAGTTGAAACATGTAGGTCACTTAGTGTAATTCCCTGCACATAAGCAAGATATAGTGTTTGCTGTCTCAGCTCTTACTGGGTCAGTTTCTGTCTTCTGGATTTTGTAAGATATTTTTCACAAGTGTTTCTAAAAGAGTTTTTTTTGTAAGATTTTGGAACATAGATTTACACTGACCTATAAAGAATACAACCCCTGACTGTGTAAAACTTTGTAAATACATTTTTTCATTAATAAGAAGTGACATTTCGCTGTTCAATAGACTTTCAATGTTGACAACTGAAAATAATGAATAGGCCCAAATTGAACTAACAAACACTTGATACCAGCATTTCAGGACTTGGCTATAATATTTGTGTATATGAAATCCATGTCCAGCCAAAAGCAGGAAGTGATTATTTTAGCAATTTTGTACTTTATATTGTTTTTCCTCCATAACCTTGAACAGTTAGACCAAAACTTCTGCCATATGGAGATCCTGTTGGCAGGAATGCTGTACTGCTCTTGTCACATAAGTTCTTACTTCCTGTGATGTCTTCTTTGATAGCTTCTTTTTTTCCCCCCCGGAGATAGGCATTATAGATTCATGCCATAAGTTTGTTTACAAATGTATCTAGTATGCTGTGTTGAAGAGTTTGAGTTTTCAAAGAGATCACACTTCTTAAAATAATCCTCTTCATATCTGCTGTATGGATACACTAAAACACCTCTTTTTCTTAAGCAGTTGGTGTCTTATTATAGGGAAAGGTGCAGCAAATCCAGAACCAATGTATACAGTCATCATCATTAGTAACCACCACTTGTTTACCAGTGAAAACGGTATATTTTTCTATGGGCCCTTCTCATAGTGACTCCTACAGACCTCAAGAAGTGGTGAAATTCTATGCTCTGTCCCACACAGCACAACTGGAAACTGCAAAGAATGCAGAGATTGAGGGCAGGAGAAATGGTGGGATCACCATAAATCCTTCTTTTTTTAAGACCGTGCTTTCTACCTGATACCCTCATTATTACCATTTAGTTGGGGGTATTTGCCAGGTCTCTCCACAATAAAGTTATTTTCTCCTCTCCATACTCTTCTTCAGAAGTGTGTCATTAGATCCAGTCCACAGGTAAACCATGGTGTTTGCTGTCTCAGGGATACTGTCATGGGGATATGTCTACATATACTCTTTGGAATTCTTCTAAAAGGAATTCCCTTCTCCATCATTCATTATTTATTGGATATTTTTTATATCAGTATGGAGTGACAGATACTTACTTTATTCTTTGTAGCTATTAGTTCAAAATCATGAAGTATTCGGTTCATGGGCGGTATGACCAGAAAAATAGACGAATTTGCAGTGGGATGGATTTTGTACAACTTATTTCATCATGTAGATGAGCCATTGAAGGTTGTATAATAATGTAGACTTGATTAGACTTGTATTTTAGAACCATGACTTTGGCAATGGACAACAGAAAAATAAGAAACTGGTATTAGGGAGATCAATTACAAGGCTATTGAAAATAATTGAAGTAAGAAATATTGAAGAGCTACAAAAGGAGTCATCTCTTCTGCTTTAGTGGTTTATTTGTAAAAAGAAAAACGTGGGGGGAAGTAAAATCTGGGAAATAAGAATCATATTTAGCATGCAAATTAAAAAAAAACTGTGGCCATTTTAATAGGGTAATGTAAGGGATCCTTGTGGTAAGAGAACTGTTCTGTTTCATCTCTGTGGTGACAGATACACAAACTCACACATGCAATATTATTGTGTAGAACTAAACAATAGAACATATACAAGGGATCCAGTTGAAGCCGAAGAAATCTGAATAAGATTGTGGTTTGTTCTTACCATTGTGGCAAACTGGGTAAAGCTCATATGAATCTCTCTGTATTATTTTGTATCACCATGTATGAATCTATGTAAAATCACTTCATGAACATTACAATTAAAAATGATGCCAAAAATAAAGATATGGTCAAGCAAAAAAAAATTATCAATTCTTTTTAGGATGCAGAGGGAGAAATTTAAGACAATTTGTATACCATTTCCCATTGGAATTTTTCTTTTACATTGCATTTTATAATAATTTGGAAAAAATGGCAAAAATTAAAATCAACCAGGTTCTTAACTGAGATAAGTTATTGAAATGCATCTTATGCAGTTTTTTGTGATAATTATTATTGGAATCCTTAGAAATTTTATATATATTGACTAATCGTGAAGGGAGAAAATAAACATTTATTGAATACTCAAAGTGAAAGTCATTGCTCTGGGAACGAGTATAGATTTCCCTATTTCATGCTGATGAATAAGCAATTTTGTTAGAATTATTAGTGCATTTTACAGGAGGGGATCCTAAGGGTGGGAGTAGATAAGTACTCATGTAAATCCATGGAATATTGGGACGAACCAACACTTTCTTACAAATTAAGAGCTGAAATACAGACACAAGAGCATTTAAGATACTGCCCTTGTCATTGTCATTGATGTCTGCAGTGTATCTAATTTTTATTTAGAATGTAGTACCTTTTACGTAATTGGTATGGGTTATTTCAGCTCAGGGAAATACAATTTGAAATTTGTGATGTTAACTTTTAATAAAATATTTCAAAACCTGTACTGAAGGGGGTAATCTTCAACCTTTAAATACAACAATTTTAAGTAGTAGGTTTATGATGTTTAACTTTTATTGAGTATTTACATATATTTCAGGTACCATATTCAGCAGTTTACATGTTGTTTCACAACAAAACAGAAGTGAAGCTTGGGCTGTTTGACTCCAAAGCCATACTTCTAATCTGTGCACTAGGATACAATGCTGTAAAAATCTACTAAATAAAATAATAGTGGGAGGTGAAGAAACTTTAAAGGAACTTTAACTGAAAGTTTAGCATGGGCCAAGATCAGTGATTAGGGCCACCATTTATTGTAATTGAAATGTAAATTAATTAAATTAACACATTTTGTGATTTGGGGGTGGGGGGGTTAAATGAAAAGTTCAATGGTATCTTCAGGTCAGTTACCTCTATTGTATTTTCTTTTTTTTTTTTTTCACTTACAACTAATATTATTCCATTACTTGACTATTATTTGCCCCACCTCATTGGAACATAACTTAAAAAATGAAGACCCTTATCTTTCTTGTTCAATGTATTTCCAGAGTCTCAGGTTGCTCCTCACATATAAATATTCTTGAATAATTGCATAAGTGTTTGGTTTTAGAGGTTTAGAGTTACAAGTTGGGTTCAAGAGATCACATTAAAAGTCATGCATAATTAGTAATTGATTAGTGTTTTGTTTCTTTGAATAGTTAGGATACAATGAAAGAAGGTGTTGAGGAACCTGGAGGAAGTTAGAGGTGGATGCTACAGAAAAGGGGAAAGAGAAATAAACTGGCAATAAGCCTTCAAATATGGAGCTTGGAGCGCAGTGTCAGAACTTAGGGCCCTTAGGTCAATGCCTAAAATTGCGAAGGCTTAGAAACTCGCATGATGGCTAACCTCTCAATTTGATCTTAGAAGTTCTACCATCACAGAAGTTTACAGAAAGGAGGTGAAGCTGTTTCATAAATTTAAGTGTGCTAATTACCTTGTGTTATGCATAGCTTTGATTAGAATGCAGTGCTCTCCAGGCCTCCTTGAAAGTTAGCACCAAGTTTGGAGGGGGGTGGCGGACTTTGGTCTACCTAGCTTATGTATCCTGCATTCTTTCTCATTACACAAACTCCTTAATGATGAGGAGTCACTGCTGATGTTATTGGCAAACAGAGGCATTTGTAGGGTATAATAGGAAAGACAGGGCCTCCCCGGTGGCGCAGCGGTTGAGCACTGGGTTGCGAAGCTGCCCGCAGCCTCTGTGGCGCCGGTTCGATCCCCGGCTGCTCCCCGGCCACTGGAGGAGGGTCCCACATGGCGCGCAGACCTCTCCTGCCGCCCGCTGCTCCCCTCAGCAGTGTACTTCGGTCCTTCTGCCTGCTCTGCTCCCCGCTCTGGCTCTGGTGAATTCTCTCACCCTCCCGCGCTTCTGACTGTACCCAGTGCATGTATAAACAAAACAAACAAACAAATAAATAAATAAATAAAGCATGCCTCTATAAAAAAAAAAAAAAAAAAAAAAAACAAAAAACAAAAAAAAAAAAAATAATAGGAAAGACAAGTAATGTCAACAAGGTTGGGGAGTACCAAGGGAAAAATTGTTTCCTCTAAAATGGAATAAAGTTAGTAGCTAAAAGTGAGAATGACAATACTCTAAACTTAGAATTTGAAGTTTCAAGGCATGAAGCATTTAGAGAAGAGGATCTCAATCTTTTTGGTCTCAGGATTCCTTTACACTCTTAAAATGAGGACCCTAAATTACTTTTATATGCATTATAGACACTGATATTATAATAGAAATTAAAATAGACATTTACAGTAATTTTTCATTATTTCATTTGAAAACAATTAAATGTTCACAACATCTTTTAGATGAAAAGCTACTTGCCAAAATTAACCAAAAAATTGAGTAGAGTGGCAGTGTTTTATGTTTTTGGGAATCTGCGGTCTCTGGTTTAACAGCACATGACTGGATTCACATATCCGCTTGTTTTCAATATTTCCATATCACATGTTATGTAGCCTCTGGAAAACCCCACTGTACACTAAATGACAGCAGAAAAGGCAAACACCATCTTTGTATTATTATGGAAATAGTTTTGGTCTCCCTCTTGAGAAGGCCTAGGAGCCCTGCAACAGACTTGGAGAACTACTACCTTAAGAGTTAGTAGCACTCAATAGCCAGGAGGTTTCACAGGGCTGCAGATTACAGAGGGTTTACTTTTTCAGAAGATGAAACATCAGTGTCCCCATTATAAGGCATCTAGAAAATACACAAATTTTGATCAAGCGCTTTCGCAGAAACAAGGGACAGCAGGCGGTGAAAGGTTAGAGGGGTAGGGAGGAGGTGCACCCCCGGGCGCCAAGGACACCCACCAGTAGATACCGTTGGATTGGTCAGGAGGAGAGAACTGTTGTTCTGGGGGAGGGGAGGGGAGTAGAGGGGTAGGGAGGGTTGCGAAGGGCGGGGAAAGAAAATGGTTACCCGGGCACTGGAGCTGCAAGCTTTAGGCCGGGTCCGGGACAGGAACCAACGCGTTCCTGTAGTCAGTAGGCGGCGAGCCTGCAGCTGGGGATGAATTCCCTCTGTCCTCTCTCCACTCCCTGCACCACGCGGAGGGGCATGAAGTGCACCCAGGGCGAGTGGGCAGATCAGGGCACTATCCCTAGCAAGGGTTGAGATATATATATATATATTTTTTTTTTTCCCTAACGCTTTGAGGATGAAAAGCGACGGCGTGGAGCGTAGCAGAAGAGGGAGGTGGAAACCAGAGGAACCCTAACCCGGTGCATTGAGCGTGGAGGTCGGCAGGGATGAAGGACGGCTCGGTTGCTAGGCAACCCTCCTAGGCCCGCCTCCCGCCCGCGTTGCTGGGAGACGGCGAGGCCAGGGGGAGGGCGGAGGAGCGGGCCCTACGTGCTGACGCTAATTGTATATGAGCGCGAGCGGCGGGCTCTCGGGTCTTTTTTAGCGCCATCTGCTCGCGGCGCCGCCTCCTGCTCCTCCCGCCGCCACTGCCGCCCTGAGTCACCGCCTGCGCAGCTCCGGCCGCCTGGCTCCCCGCGCTCGCCGCCGGTAACGGATGGGGGCCTGAGAGAGTCGGGGGCAGCGTCGAGTGGGCCCGGCGGCCTACGCGGAGGGGAGGGCCCGGGAGCCGAGCGCGGGCCCGCGGGCCCCCGGCGGCCTCCCGGCCGTCCTGTGAGGCCGGCGTCGGAGCCGCCCGCCGCGTCGCGACCCCGCAGCCTGAGAGGGTCCCGAAGGCCGGCGGGCGCCTTTTGGGGGGCCGCTGTGGGGGCGCGGCGCGGCCTGGGCAGGGTGGGGGCCCGCTCTGGTCTGCGCGGAGGTGCCCTGAGCCCCACCGGCTTCTCCGCGCGGGTGACGCGAGGCCGCGGCGACGCCCGGGCGCCCTATGGGGGCGACGGCCGCGCGGCGCAGGCCGGGCCCGAGCGCGTAGCCCGCCGCCCGCTCGGCGTCCCCGCGGACTGGGAAATAATGCCCGGGGAGAGGCCGCCTGGGGGGGGGGGCGGCAGAACGGCGGAGGCTGCGAATTCCGACGGGAGGGAGGGGCTGCGAAGGGACGAGGCCCCGAGGCGGGGAGGGGCGGGGAGGCGGCGAGGCTTCTGGGCTCCCCGCCCACAGGAGGCGGCGACGCTGCTGGGAGGGGAAACCCCGGCGGCTTCCCTCGACACGTGGCCTCCGCCGGGCCCAGATTGGAGACCCCCCACCTCCACCCTCACCCCCACCCCCTGGGTTGTCCTTCCCTGGAAGTGTCGAGATGGTGGGCTGTGGGGATGAATCAGTGAGTGGCTAGCTGAGCCCCTGGATTTCTAAACTCTCCTCTGCTTCTTAATGGTCAGTATTTTTGGTGATGGATGGTGAGGCAGGTCCACCCCTGCTGGCATTTTAAAGAATTAATGGCGTGAAAAGCGCGCCCGTGTTAGCTGTTATTAACAAAAGAGCGTGTGTGCCTGAGGTACAGTTAGAATTAGGCTGGATAGCTTGGCCGGCTTTTTTCTTGGCGACCATTGATCCTGATAGAATTCTCGAGAACAGTTAGAAGGTGGAGGAAAGGATTCGGCCAACAGGGTCTTTCATCGAGGACTTCGGGTGCTTTCTTGCAAATTACTCCCTTTATTGAGGGTCCTAGGAAATACTTAGCTTTTTGTTTTTGAGATGATTGGAGTGGGGGGGGGGAGTGTGGGATGGAGTGAAGGTTCAGTGTGGACTTAAGATAGCCTGCTGCTGGAGAATGCCTCTTCTCCCTCAGAAAAAGCAGTGAAGGGAGGCTAGAAATGAAGCCCTTCTTGGAGGCGGTGGTCTTTCAGAATAGGAAAAGAATCTGGCACAGGATGTCCTCAGGGTGCCCTGTTTTAGACTCACTCACTGATTCTGTAAAGACCACTTCAAAAGGCCCACGACTTAACACCCCTTGCCCTTTTCGGGAAGGTTGTAAAACAAAATGCCTTTTCTAATTGGTGTTTACATCCTATTTTCATGTTTAAAATAATACTCCTTGTTAGGAAGTAACAGATACCACCTCTAATTGTATATGGATGAAAAAGACAGGTGGTAAAGGAAGTTTACAGTGATCTTCTGGGACTATTAACATATCACTTGTTAGAAGTAGTCTGATTTTAGATTGATGGCCCGAATCTAAAATGTGATTTCCTTTAAGACTAATCACCTCTGGAGGATAGTTGGAACTCAATTTGGACATCTTTTATTGTTAGGAAACCGACTTCATGGATTCTCGTTCTAGATCACCTTTGTTTTGATACAATTTTTTAATTTCACCTTATCAGTTTGAAAATCCTTGTAAAATTTATGTGTTTCAAAGTACCAATTTTTAGCATTGGACCTATTGACAGAAAATTACTAAACTAATACTGAATGTGACATGTCATTATTCTTGCCATTAGAGATTAAAACAAAACAAAACCTTGTACCAGAGCTAATTTAATCCAAAATGCTGTTCTTATTGGTTTGTTTCTCCCCTCCTCCACATTCCTTGCCATGAATTAATAGGGAATGAGTTCCAGCAGTTTGTGCTCCTTTCTATTGGTTTTCACAGAGTGCTTCTCTGGGTAGAGCCAGGCTAGTGCTTCAGTTTAACCCAAGTACTTTGGCTTCCTTATTTTTCTGATAATTTTCTTTTTACACGTTTCAGAAAGGTAACAACCCTTACAGTGCTCACTATGCTCAATAATACGTCCTTGTTTGTTTGCCAGGATGCTAAGTGCATCCTGGGTAACATTACAGACGCTTCTAGTTTTGCCATGGTAACATTTGTGGGGCCTTTCTTTTTGAACAGTGCCTGTCCCCATGATGTCTCCAACATCACCTTGTAGACTCACATGCATGTGGCCAAAGGACCAACTTAATGTTTTCTAAAGGGCACAGAGAACTATATAGTGGGTGCCTTTCCTCTTTCGTGTCTGTCTTGGTCATTTTGGCAGTTCCAGCCGAAAGGAGCAGTGGCCCATTTTATTACTTAATTTCCCTATATTGTTGGCAGGTGACATTTGTTAACTTCCCAAAATACATTCAAAACAGTCCTTTTGTTGCAAAATGGGCTAAAAGAGGCAAAATCTGTTTGACTTTTCAAGGTATGAAGATTTCAAATTAAAATTCTGTGCTTTATTAATTTTTGTTTGGTTTTAAATTTGAAATATTAATGAAAGATAGGATTAGAGTGAATCTTCATCAATTTAGTAAACTAGTGATTTTTTTTTTTTCAGGTCCTCAAGTTTAATCCAAACTTGTAATTGTTTTCTCAGTTGATTCTTAGAATATATATTTTAGCGTCTATTTGGAATGTTTATCTTATATTTTGAGCAAACTGGGCAAATTGTAAAATGTTGAATGAATGAGTCGTGATGAATGATATGAAGAAACAGAAAGGGATAGAGTGCAGGAACTTATTATAATGGTGATACCAAGTCTCATTTCACACTGATTACATCTGAATAAGTTCTTTTTGGGCAGTGTTAGAGGGTGAGCTTTGTTGCTTTTACCCATCTTTTGTAAGTTTTTTACAATGACATCTGACCTCTAGATCATATTATTGGGCATGCCATAAAAAGTGGCCTCAGAACTTTCTGATTACCAATTCTGCCTGATTTGCAAGTACATTTATCCTTGTTTGTACATTTTGAATTTTATTGGGAAAGGAGACTAATTTTGAAGAGCTTATTTGATTATTTTCTAAGGTAATGCGGACACAGGAGCACAAAAATACAACAGTCAGCATTTACTGGGTCAATATTCAGTGAATGTTTTAAATTGTAAGTAAATGCATTTAATGCTTCTGGAGGTAGGTATCAACATTTTAATGGGGACACTGAGGTATAGATCAGTTAAAGGATTTACCAGTAGTTACTTAAACTTGATTTATGATAACGATTTTGTGTTGGTCTTTGAGGGAAGTTTCCTTGAGTTAAACTCTTGCTATTCCTCAGCTCAGAATTCATAAGCCTTCTTCTTTGGGTTCCACTCACTGTGCTCCAAGTAAAAGCCACAACGCCTAATCTTGAGATTGTTTAGCATGGAACTGTTGACATGGTAATTAGGTGATGGCTCCTTGGCCTTTTGTTTGCTCCTTTGTCTGTACACACATGCATATACACGCGCGCGTACGTACACACACACCCCTACATGTATGCATGTCCTGTGTGGGTGAATTGTTTTTGCTGGGTTATTACACATTCCTTGAATTCTCGCTTTAAATGTAGAATTCTTAATGATGCTATCACCATGAAGTAGGTTTTTGGTTTTTTTTTTTTTTTTTTTTGGTAAAGAAATAACTAATTTGTTACTGTATAATCTGTGTAGCAGTAAGTTATTAGCCTTGGTTTTTGGACTAGTGGACTGGATAAGGGTTTTGGAAGTCAGGTTTTAAATCTTAGTTTCCGCTCTGTTGTGAGCAAGTAACTATTTTATCTGCAAAGAAGAGGAAAGTCTATATATAATAGTTCCTTTCAGATTTAGTGTTGACTTTCTTTCCTTATTGAAGGGAGAACTTATTTGGAATCAGGTTTACTTGGATGGGAAGAAGTTATTTTATAGCATGTCTGGATATCTAGCTGTTACATGACCATAAATAATCAGGTTATGATCTGATTTAATTTCTTTTTAGTGGAGATTTTCTTGTTCAAGTATCAAGTGAAGATTTTCCCCAGTCATGTTAGTCTGAACTATGTCTTTCCATTGACTTCTAGATTACATATATTGAAAATGAATTGAATCTCATTATAAAGTGTCTTTTTCATCTCTAGTAATGCCTTTCCTTACTTTTTTTTCTCCTGATGTTAGTACAATATTACCAGCGTCTTTAAAAATTAAGATTATATTTTACTTTGAGACATTGACATATTTAGGATTACATCTGAGCGTGTGTGGTGTGTTTTTTCTATTTGCCCGCTCTATTTTTCTTTTAGGTTGATTGCAAAAGTTCTTGATTGTCTTTTTCCTTCTACTCTGGAAGTTATAATCATCTGCATCTAATTTTTTAGGAGCTAACCCAGAAATTACAATAATACATACTTGGGAAAATTAGAATACCATAATCCATTTTCTTCCCTTTTGCCCTTGTTAATGCTGTAGCTTAATTTTTAGCACACTGCACAGGGGTTATAGTGTTTAAAAATATTTTGCCTATGTGCAGATAATTTTTTTTGCCCCTCATTTCTTGGACTTTAAATCCTTTAGGGGTGATTACTTGTCTTCTGCCTGAATAATGTTTTTGTGGAATTTACAGTGAAAGTACTGCAGCCCTCATTCTTAACTAGTATTTTGGTTGGGTATAATAACTTTAAGATCATCAGTTATCTTCAGCATATTGAAGATTCTCTTGTGTTTGGGTCTGTTAAAGAAGATATAGCTGTCAGTATTCTATGCCTTTCAGGTTAATCTTTTCTCTGTTTTTGTCTTCAGCCTTTTATACATCTGAATTTTTTTTAATCCTGAGCTGGATTTGTAGGGTTATCTTCCATAGTTCAAGAAACTTCTTACCTTTTAATATCTTTGATCATTTTGCCCATTCTCTGCTTCTAGAACTTAGCTAAGTTAAATCTTTGTTAGGATTTCTTGTACCTTAAAATGTCTTTTAACGCAAGTATTTTCCACCCTGCCCTAGAATGTCTTGCTTCTAAACTTGGTTCCAACTCAGTTCTCTGTTGCACCTGTGTTTAGTCTACTGTTAAACCTGCCATTTAGTTTGATATCCATTATTTTTATTTATAGAAGTGCTGTTCTTTGCCAGTTTTGCTATATCTCCTTTAATAGATATTGCTTACAGATAATACTGCAAATGCTACTTTTTATTTTAGTGTGAGCATAGATATCTTTTGTCTGTGTTTATAGTTTTAAGCTTGTTTATAGTCTTTTTACAGTGCTCAATTCTTTGTAGGACTGGTTGATTATATTCCTTTCTGTTCCCTTCCTTGCCCTGGAAAATTGCTTGTATGAATTTGAAATCCAGAATGGAAGTACCTTTCACTAACGTTTGGATTTGCGAGTGCCTAGGAACTCTGTTGGGTAGAGATCACTAAACTCATTGCTTGGGGTTTCAGGGGGTAGCAAACATGAGAGGTGCCTTTGAGCTCTTTTTTTCCAGGAGAACTGGTTTATTATCCTGGAGAGTACAGCACTTGAAGGTTCCTGATTAATTTGGGGGGTTTGCTGTAAAGGTTCATATCTTGAACGGGTCTAGGGATTTTCATTTCACCTCACGTAGTTAAAACCCAAGTTCAAATTTAAGATTCACAGATGCCCTCTGGACACAGTGCCTGCCTTCTGCTTATTATTTTGCTTCTTGATTTGCCTTTAGTTTGGGATTAGTGAGTCCTTACTAACTAGAATTTTCTGCAGTTTTAAGATTTTTTGTTGTTGAGCTTTTTTTTTTCTTTCATTTTATATATATTTTACATCATTCTTCCTTTTTGTACAGTGCATGCTTTTTCCTCTCAGGTGTAGTCCCCGCAAAATCCTCACCACTTATTCACCGTGTACCATCACCATAGTCCCTTGTGTAAGAACACATTCCCTCTCCTATTTTGGTCCCTCTCTTCCTGCCTCCCCTGTAGTGTCTGTGATTAATAGTTGCCTGTTAATTTTCTTTTTTAATTTATTATAATTACTTTTTTTCTTTGCCCCTTTTTTGGTTCTCCTATATTCTGCCTTATAAGTGAAACCATCCAATATTTTTCTTTTTTTTTTTTTTTTTTTTTTTTTCCTGGCTTATTTCACTGAGCATAATCCCTTCTAGCTCCATCCATGTTGCTGCAAATGTCATGAGTATCTTTTTTGATTGCTGAATAGTATTCCATGTGTATATATACCACATCTTCTTGATCCAGTCTCCTATTTTAGGATTTTTAACAAATACTTTATTCTGCATTTTAAATTATTTCTCACTGGTAGAGTTGGTATGCATAATCTAGTTTGTCACTGCCAGGAATGGAAATTCTTCAGATTTTTCAGAAAGTAATTTCATGTCTGATACGTAAAATTCTCATTGGTTGTATTTAATGTTGACTTAATTTAAAAAAAATTAATGTAGGTGTTAACCTAAACCTATATTTTTCAATGTGATCAAACTATCTGCCGTAGAAGCTTTGTTTCTTGTTTACAACACAGATTTTGGGGTATATTCCATCAGATGTATTGGTTCAGAATCTCAATTTGGGAATCTCTGTCTCTAAATATAATTTATATAATTTAGATTTTTAGGGAAGTTATAGAGATAATTCAGAGTGTTCCCAGTGCTCCATAGTTATTTTGCCTCTAAGTTAACATATGTTTCTACCTTGCTACATTGATGGGTTACTTTACAGTTGTCAGAACTGAAAGACTTTTTTTTCCAGCCATCATCCCAGCTGATTATTTTGCAGAAACGCTGACTCTGCTGTGGTTAATTCAAAATGGACAGAAAGAAAAATCACTAAGTTTGTTGTTTACTCAATAAAAAACACAGTCTTTTACATGAATTTGCTTCCTAAGAACAATCTGATGAGGGAATAGTTTTTTTCCTGCTTGATTGTACATAATAAAATAAGGCCAGAATTGGTTTGCCAGAGTTAGATTTTGCTTATTCAACTCAGATAATCTACATAATAGATTTAACTTTTAAAAACAAAAGTGTACAACCATGAAATATAACTTAGCTAAAATGGGAGATTGGAGAAAGCATCTCAGAAGTAAGTGCCATCCTGTTTTGTCTTGAAGCCTAAGTTGCTATTTTCTCCTAATCTTTTTGATAGGTAGCTACTGTTATGTTTCTGATAGAATTCCAGAAGTGTTTCATTCATGAGAAATCAAGTTCATCTGTGTATATATACACAGATGTACATATATATGATATATCCATCCAGATGAAAATTTTCCATATATCCTATACCCCTGCTTTTCTTGCTCTTTCCATATCAACTCAGATCTGCTTCAATTTTGACTGTACTCTGTTATGTGTGCATACTATGCTAATGCTAAGTTTATTTTTGATATGTAGTGCCAGATATATAAGCTTCTTATACTACTCTATAATACAGTGATTGACAAAACAGCAGAAATAATTCCTGTAATGTGAATCTTGTGGACCAGTAAATCTGGAGAGACTTGGCCAAATAATCACACTAACTTAATTCCAAATCAGAAACATTATAGGAAGAAAAAGGTTTATAGGAATGTGTGCATATAAGGAGATCTTATTTAACAAGAATGTATGGGATGGAGAAGTCCTCTCAGAAGAAGTTTGAATTTGTGGGCCAAAGGATATAGTATTGAAAGAGAGCCATCTAGGTGGACATGAAAAGTTTACTAGACCCTTAGATTTTTTACATAGTGTTTTTCATGGTAGTTTCTCATAAGTGAATAATGAAGGCTGGAGATGAACATATTTATTAATTCTTGATGTTCCTGTGGTCACAGTGCTCTCCAGAAAGATTATAATTGATGGGAATACTAGCCATATTTAAGAATGCATATTCACCACAGTTTTCCTCCAATAAAAATGCTTATTGATTTGATAGACAATAGAATTCAACTTGATTGTTCTGACTAGGATTCATTATTTTTCTTTTTGAATTAGCATTCATAATCATTTGCTAAGTATTTTGTCAGTGTTACTTTAGTTACCCAACTGGAGAAATTTATCGATGCAATTAGGAGTGATTCAAAGAACATGAGGATATTTTAAAAATATAGTAGGATATTTTAGGAAGAAATAGTTCCTTCGTAATTTGTCTGAAGCATGGCTATTGAATCAGTAATAATAGTTCAAATATTGGCAGTTGACTGCTGAAATCAGTAACTTGTCCTAAACCTCTAGGCAATAAGCATATTAAGTATGTTTGTTTGAGGAATCACATAGCATTCTATGAATCAAAGGCTAATATTTTAAATTAAAAAAATGTAAAAACTTGATTTTGGTGTGGGATTGATTCTGAGCCTGATTTAGATTGCCTTTTAGTAATGCATTACCTAGGGCATTAGCCATTTTTCTGTCTGATGAAACATTTTATCTCGTTTTGTCTTTCTAAAACCAGTATTCTCTAGGTTAGTATTCATCTTATCATGAGTTAGAACTTAGAATATGCTTAGTTCTAATAGTATTCAGGTTTGATAACCAAGAGCATTGTTGACAGTATGCCAGCATATCCAGGGAAGGTTGAATGCCTGCTGGTTATAATGTGACATAACAGTGATTTGAAGAGATGGGGAAGGTTTGCTTGACAAAGATTTGAGTCCCAGGGCTTTTGTAACTGTCATTAAGTAATTTTAAAGGGCTGAATTTGATGCGAGGATTATTATTTTTGACCAAAAATCCTGGGTGCTTACCGTAGATGGCAGTATTTGGCTTTAACCTAAATTGGATAAAAAATTAATACCATCAAATGAAGTGGTTTTGTTTTTTTTTTTCCTGTGAGGTGCTGCATAGCAAAAATTAAAAGGAAATAATTAAAGACCCTTTGCATTGTATTTTTTCTAGCATATATGTGATTCTTTACCAGGAGTCTATTTCTTCTAACAGTCCTTACATGATAGATTCTAAAAATCTGATAGTAACTTGTTTGTTTTAAGTAGTAGTCTCAGAAAAAATATCTTCTGGTGACTAAGGAGAGTTTATGTTCCATGGTTTCTCTTTTGAACACTGATGCTTTTTTAATGGGCGTTTACATTTTAATATATATGCAAATCAATGTGGTATTGATTTAAAATATTTTGTCCTCAAATGTTTTTATTGGTTTTTAAATAAATCTTATATATTTTTTAACATTGACATTTCTCTCCATAGATATTTGGAGTTCTTACAACATGGCAGACATTGACAAGTAAGTGACAGATAGTTGGTTCTTTTTTTTTTTTTTTAGAGATTTGGAATCACTTTGTACTGTGATGTAGTTAACAGCAGTACTATTTATGAATTATCAAAATGTATGGTAATGACTAATGCTTAGTACCTACTATTATAAAAGTTGGGTACAGTGTATCCAAGACAAAATATAGTACATAATGCATTGTCATAAATATAGTAAGCCATTTGTCAATGTTTATTCTTAGGAAAGTGATGAGCACAATGGTGAATCATAAATATTTGCAGAATTCATTTTTACCACATGTATTTCCCAAAGATTGTACTACTTACATTGTAATGTAACTTATACACAAAATTTTAAAAGTTTTAGAATGTGTATGTAGAATTTAAAGACTGAAAGGATACTTGTAGACAAGTTTTAAAAATTAGAACATTACTGTTAAGAAGCCCTTTGTGTCCCTTCTCAATTGTATTGTCCTTAGTTGTCTGCCTTTCCACTCCAGGAACAAAAGCACCATCTTGGCTTTTGTCTGATTCATTTCTTTGTTTTTCTTTAGTTTTATCAACTAAAAATTCTTAACCATGTTTAATTTTGAAATGCTGAATAGCAGTCACAAATTTTGCTGTGCTAAGAAAAAAATCAGTGTTACCACTATTAGTTGAAGACGAGGTTGGGAAAATAAGCAAGATAATATCTGGGTGGTCATAGTATGGCTTCAACTGTCATGAAGTTTTACAGGGGCTTATTTTGGAGAAATCGTTGGGGAAGGAGGCCATGAATTATGGAAACAGGTTTAATCAAGTTGACCTCTGACAGGATTCTAGTGTGATTGCACCTCTTGCAGAAATATGGTGAGGAAGAATGAGTTGATTTGCACTATTTGTTGCTTGTAATTTCACTGTAACCTGCAAACTCAAGTAATTAAAACAACTCTTAAGTATGAGGGGCATGATAAACTTAATAGCTGTTAAAGGCAGTAGAGTGTGGGGGTGAGAGTACAGGAAACTTTGACACAAGGGCAGCATATCCCAAGTATATGTAACAGTCTGGCCAGTCCTCCCCCATGAGTGCTGTCTTCAACATAAGACAGTAGTGCCACACAGACATTTTAGTGCTGATGGCTCTCAAGGTGACTGTCTCTGAATCCCACTCTCTGTTGTTCAGCTGTGGTATACTATCTTCCTCTGGTTTCCTTCTGTTTCTCCTCTTTGCTATGTCCCATTTTGTTTTCCTTGTTTGTTTGTTTGTTAGCCTAATACCTCAGAAGAGTGCCAGGGAAGTAAATTATTTTGAGTTATGGCATGACTGAAAATGACTGTTTCACCCTTATCCTTGATTGTTTGGTATAGACTTCTAATTTGGGGTTATTTTTCTTCACAATTTTGAAGGTTCTGCTGCATCATTGCCTTTTTCGTAGTGTTGCTCTGTCAAAGTTAAAAGTCATTATAATTGTTGATCTTATATATGACTTTAAAATATTTATGTATTTGTTTCTGGAAACCACTCTGGCTTCAGCATTTTGAAATTTTCAAATTGCTTTAGCTATTTTTATCTCTTTCTTGTGTTAGGAATTCAGGGGACCATTTTGTCTGGCAACTCTGGAATGACTTTCCATTCCAGGAAATATTCTTATTTTGTGTATTATCTTGTTTCTTTTTCCTCTTTCTGGAACTCCTGTTATGTGTTCAACTTGATTTTTCTAATTACCTTACATCCTGTTTCCTATCTTTGTCTTTTTACTCTCTCAGCAAATTGGAAAAGCTATTTATCTTTCAACTCTTGCTTTGAATTTCTAATTGTTTAGTTTTCATGAGCTCATTGGTTCTCTTCTTGCTTCTATAGCATCTTGTTCTTCTAATCATTGATTATGGTATCTTTGGATTTTCTTTCCCGTTTAGTCTTTCACATGTTTTTTTTTTTCCTTGTTTTTTTCTGGCCTTAATGCAAGAAGCTGTTCTCAAATCAGAGATAGTGCTTGGTTGTCTGCTCATTAATACTGGGGTTGGGGGCATGTATTTGAGGGAAATTTTTTAAAAAATTGATTGGGAAATTTGAGTATTAGAGGGGGAGACTTTCAATTTGGGATTTTAGTGCAGGATCCTCTGTGTGGCATTTGTTGTGAAAATAACCAGTATTAGAGTGTTTTTTTCTGGATCAGGTATCCTTCTGAAAGATGTTTGTGTAAAGAATTGACTTTCAGTCTATTGGGAGCCAAATTGGGAGAAGAGAGAAGTCCTCATATTTGGCATTTATTGTGTACATGATCCTGTCCTAGCTATTCCTCCTCCTCCTCCCCCCCCCCCCTGTCTGTACTCCTTTTGCCTGAGCTCTCTATTTAACCCTTTCCAGACAGGAAACCACCATTCATCTGCTAGAGTGAGGGAGAGGCTCCAAGGATTTGACTGCTTACCAGTTTTTGCTTAATATCCAAACTTTTTTAAGATTACATGTTGAGACTGGTTCTCACTTTTCCATACCACTAGCTTCGGTTTCAGTTCTCAGTGAAGTTTGTTAAATCCCTCTTTATCATAATCTTGGTGGCGATTTTGGATGTGCAGTTGAGTATCTGCAACCTGCCATCTTAACCTTGGGATTCTCCTTTTGTTTTAAACTTAAAAAAAAAAAGAGTAATTTGATTGTGACTCCTTGCTTCCTTGCTTCCCACACCATAAATTAATTTTGGATATTTGAGAGCCTTTTAGGAGGGAGCAAGAGTGAATGATTTTTCTGTAAAGGACCTCGTCATAAGTATTTTGGGAACATATGGTTTTTGGTCCAACCACTCAACTTTGTAGTATTGTGAAAATAGCAACAGGCAATACATAATGCAATTAATTTGCCTCTGTCCCAATAAAATTATAAAAATGGGAGTGGACTCTGTTTCACCATTCAGTGTACATAATTTTGACCCTAGTATTAAAGCCTTAATAAATAGATGAATGAAATTATACTGGAGGAGAACTATTTCTGTTACCTTCAGTCAGTGGCTTTTTATACTAGATAGTCCAGAAATCTCTTGATTCTGATAGGAAGGTTGAATTTTTCCCTCAGTTGATGGGAACTTAACTTTTACTAGTAGGATAGAGTTGAGCTTTTCTGTACTTGTTAGTATACAAAAATTTATTAGTCTTTGTCCCTATATGAAAGTTTTCAAATGCTGTTTCAAGATATGAAAGCAATGAAATCTCTAGCAAAATAGTAAAATGTGAAATCAAGGAATTCTACCATAAACTGTATGTTGACTTAGATGTCTGTATTCTCCTTTTTAATGCTGGTTGTAATCTCATGTTCAAAAATTAGATTTTTAGGATAAAATGGAAAGAATGTAATCTTAATACTTTTTAACTTCAGTGATGCCATCCTCCTGGCTTTGCTCTAGTCATGAATAGACTCTGATTTTCTTTCACTGTTCTTCCCCATCTTTGCTGTATAGAAAGATCAGAGTATAGTCTGATACCCTTGCTCCACAGCCATAAGGGATCCAGAACCTTTTTGTTTTTCAAACTACTTGATCCTTAACTGATGACATTTTCCCGAAAGTTTCATGGTCCATTTTGTGGCTGCTGGAGCTCTAGCCATCTTACATACCAATTCTAGGGAAAGAGCAAGATGAAAAAACCTCCCAGCTTGCTGTCTCATATCTTTCCTCCTACTTTTCTATAAAGACTTCCTTAAATTTCTATTCTACTTCTGCTTTTTAGCTCACTACCAAAAACCTAATCACATCAACTAAAACGTAGGTTAAGGAATGTGGACTTTTAAAAAGCTTGGTGTTTTGCCCTCTCATAAAATAAGCGCTATTACTAAAAAGATTAAAATGAGTGATTATTGAATGAAACGCTTATTTCTTGCTATCACATTCCCCAAACAAAAATGTTGCAAGCTCTATTTTAAGACTTAAAATATAAACTATATTCGGCCATATGCTTTTAAGTGAAATTCTACGTACTTCTGGTTTTGTATTTGTGTCCATTTGAAGTTAAAAGGAAAATGGAATTGCCATTTAAATTCCTACTTCATGTTTTTGAATGAGGCGTATTAATCTAGAAAATGAATTGAAGTTTTTCTGTAATTTTTTTTTTGTAATTGGTCCATTTGAACCTTGGTGTGATGCTATGATATTTTAGCAAAGAACAGTCTGAACTTGATCAAGATTTGGATGATGTTGAAGAAGTAGAAGAAGAAGAAACTGGTGAAGAAACAAAAATCAAAGGTATTACTTTAATTTACTTCAGGAGCCAGCGAATCCTGGCACTTGTGTTACTTGACCTTTCTCTTTTCGGATCATTGTCCACTTTACCACCCCTATCCTAGCTCAGAAACTGCGTGGTGGGAGGTAGGGGAAGAGGGAGATGGAGATGAAGTAGTAAGAGAGGAAAATATATGGATTGGGCCTCCCCGGTGGCGCAGCGGTTGAGCGCTGGGTTGCGAAGCTGCCTGCAGCCTCTGCAGCCGGTTCGATCCCCGGCTGCTCCCCGGCCACCGGAGGAGGGTCCCACATGGTGCGCAGACCTCTCCTGCCGCCCGCTGCTCCCCTCAGCAGTGTACTTCGGTCCTTCTGCCTGTTCTGCTCCCCGCTCTGGCTCTGGTGAATTCTCTCACCCTCCCGTGCTTCTGACTGTACCCAGTGCATGTATAAACCAAACAAACAAACAAATAATAAATAAATAAATAAATAAATAAGACATGCCTCTAGAAAAAAAAAAAAAAAGAAAATATATGGATATAGTGTGACTTATCAGAAGTCATGGTATCTGCTGCTGGGCTTGCATGTGGCATAGATGTGTCAGACAGAGCTGCCCATGAGTTTTGTCTGAATTTATCAATAGAAATATTTATTCATTCATTCAGAAATATTTATTCATTATTCATTCAATATTTATTCATACTTGTTATTGGTGGTGCTTCTCAACAAACACTAGCTTAGATTTATTTGAAATGTTTATTAGTATTTCGTGTCAGAAATACAATATATGTAGTGTGTGTGTGTGTGTATTTTTTTTTTCATTGTGACCAAACAACAAAAGAAACATTAACAAATAGACACAAAATCATTCAAAATTTTCTTCAGCAGATAATTCATATGTGTGGGTGAGGGTTAGTGATGGTAGTGGGGAATTATACTGCTTTAGGTTATGCTCTCTAATGATTCAACTTTTCATTTTTAAGCCAGATGATTGTGAAAAGACTACTGAACTAGCTCCATCTTTTGTCTTGTAATGTTTTTCTTAAAAGATACATGACTGTATCGTTAGTTGCCAGTATTGCTATTTTTAAAGGCATGTTGGTTTTCATAACTGTACATCACCCAATAATCAAATTAATGTTAGAAGATAGACTGACCCTTAAAAACATAATTGGGAAAAATTAATGGCAATTTTGTATGTATGTATTGAAGAAGATGACTTGTTTTTCATAAATTAGCTTATATTGGGTAGAGTATAATTTTCAGACACCATTAATAACCAATTTTGTTTGGCTTCACTTATAACCTTTGACTATTTGAACTTTTATTATTCAAATAAACCCAAGCACATTACAAGATTGAACATTCAGGTCACTCATTCCCACAGTTCCAGCCTTGAAACAGTCACTATATTTGCAGTTTTATGATATGTGTTCTCTCCTTCAAAGTATTGTCACCTATCATATATAGGTAACTGAGTCATGCTTTGAGCTGCCCAAAATGCAGTGTGGGTGAAACAAGATGAAAGGGTAAAAAAATATGTTGATGACATTTGAAATCAATAGGAATCTGAACTTCTCCTAGAGTGACTTTTCTTTGGCCTGTTGCCCATCTTTGCGCATACTAGCAATTTACAGTCTATTCAGAAACACTCATGATTGGATTGTCCTATTAAAATAACAATACATTGTCATAAAATACTTCTTTCGATGCCCTTTTTTTCTTTAAAGCGCGTCAGCTGACTGTTCAGATGATGCAAAATCCTCAGATTCTTGCAGCCCTTCAAGAAAGACTTGATGGTCTGGTAGAAACACCAACAGGATACATTGAAAGGTACACGTTTTCTTTTCCATAGTCCTTACTTATCTTTTTATAATCAACAGTGCAGGTGTATTTTTAAGACCATCTATGATTTTTGTGTATAATAGTTGGAAAACTAATGTATCCTATCTAGTGGAGGATTATTGGGAGATTAAAATTTTGTTTGAAGTACCACCAATTTAGGGTTGGTCTTTAAATTTTTATTTTGGTTCAGCTCCACAGGATGTATACTGATCCTAACCATACCGAGTTTTATTTAGAGATTTGTTAGAAATGCAGTTTTTTATTTTGCTGGTGATCATTAGTAATATTCCCTATTTTACTTTGCTTATAATTATTTTTACTTGCCTTTATGATTTTAAGATCCATCCATGTTACTATATTCATGTATCTCGAGTTGCTTTGTTCTCTGTGATATGCAGCCACCGTATTTTACTATACTCTTTTTCTTTGATGAACACAAGATTTCCATTAAGCTCCATACAGTTTTATTGAAGTGATCATCCCTGTGCATATCTTCTTAGCTATCTAAGAATTTCATTGGGATATGCATTTACCAAAAGGTTGCTAGTTTTGGGAGATGGAAGTATTAAGTGCTTAGAGTTTGCATTATTTGATTCCATTGGTTTTTGTTTGTTTTAACCAGTCTAATGTGTAAGGTTCAGGCTCATTTTAGTAATATTTACTAATAATCTGTTGAGTTTTTAAGCTTTGTAAAGATTGTGACCTTTAGGTTTGCTCATATGTACCCATTTTCCTATTGGAGTTTGCTATCTTTTTCCTGTTTTGTAAGAGTTCTTAGGTATTTTAAATGTCAATCCTATATCAGTTTTGGACTTCATAAATAACCTATTGTGCCATGTCTGTCCATAGCATCCTCCATTAAACAGAATTCCTTAATTTTTCAATTTTTGTGTAGAACTAGGATATAGGCCAGAGGTGCCGGGGGTAGGGTGTGAGAGGATTCACTAGAGCACAGTGGGGAGCAGAACAGGTAGCTCTACTGAAATATGCTGCTAAGGTGAGCAGCGGGTGAGACAGGAAAGGTCTTGCTGCACCATGACGTGGGTTAGCTCCATGGTGAGTGATGAAACTCAGTAGGCCCTTATGGTATTAGCGCTGAGACTTAACCCCTAGGCCACCAGGGAGGCCCCCAGAATTCCTTGACTTTTATGTTTATTGACATTTTTTACTTAATGACTTGTTCTTTCAAAATTAGGTCCTTCCTAGTTCTATCTATATTTCCTTTGACTAGTTTACCTTTCACATTTAATCCCTCTGGAGTCAGTCCACCTTTGTATTTGGTGTTAATTTGGCATCTGGTTTTCTTTTCTTTCTTTCTTTTTTTTTTTTTTTTTCCCAGTGAACTAGTTTTTATGACACTTCATGAAATAGTCATTCTCTGTCCCCATTTATTTGTGGTACGTAACCTTTATTGCATATCAGTTTCTTATAAACACTTGCATTTGTCTTTTAGCAGTTACTCCTCTGTTTCATTGTTCTTTTTTGTCTTATTGTTTTGTCATTTTCATGCCTTAATTTCTTTGGAATAATATGTCTTAGTATTTTTAAGGGTGGGTTACCTTCTTCCACTGCCCCGCACAAAACACTTTCAAGGTTGACCTTAAGTATAGATGTTTATCCTACATATGGTTGATAGTAAGGTTGTCAGGGTTTTCTTAAGAAAACTGAAATTTTGATAGGGATTACTTTGAATATATAGATTAATACAGCAAGGAACTATTTTATTCAGATCCTATTCTGTGTCTCTTATTACACTGTTTTTGTGTTCTATTCTGGTGAATTCTTGTATACCTTAGTTGTGTTGCTGTTGTGAATAAGCAAAAGATGTTATCTGCAATAAATGGCAGTTTTAGTTCTAATCTTCCACATTATACCACACCATATGTTTATTTTCTTGTAACATTGGACAGGATTTTTAGTACTTTTTAAAACATTAGCATTAAAAATGGGCATATTTCCAGTCTTCCTGGAAATGAATATAAACTCTCCATCTAACTTAAAGTCTGTTTGAATTTTTTGTGACCTTTTATTCTGTATTAATTCAGATGGGCTTTGTTTTTTTTTTTTCTTTGAATATTAAATATAAACATTTTTGGAAATGATTTTCGGATATCAAATTAGCTTTGCATTCATGGAACAAGCTTTATCATGATATTGTTACTAACTACCTAAGTAAATCGCACATTTTATTTATGTCCTTGTTGGTGAAATGAGCTTTGGTGCGTGTGTGTGTGTGTGTGTGTGTGTGTGTGTGTGTGTGTGTGTGTGTATATAAAAAGAAACTTTGCGGGGGGGACAAAGAAATATTATCCTTAAGTGGTTTTAGAGTTGAGATTTCAACTGCCTAATGGAATTATTTTACTTTTTTCTGCATTTTGGAACAAACTGAGACAAAAATTACTTGTTCCTGGAACAGTTGTTAGACTTTTTCTGAAGATTGACTTGTGCCTTTCAGGTTTGAGAACTAGAGATCATAGGGAAATCCACATGCTACCTCCCTTTTTTAAACATGCCAATTGACCTGACAGTTTCTTTTGTGCCAGTTTTAAAGATTTATATTTTAAACATATTTTATTTCTATTTCAAATTGATTAGCATATAATTTATGATGTTTTAAAATATCTGATGATTTTCATTTTTGTATTTTGTATCTTGCATCTTTGTTTCTATTGTCTCCATCATAGTAATGTTTCTTAGAATGAACTTTTGATTTTCCCTTTCCTTTCTTTTTTGTTATTGCAACTCTGACTTTAATGTTAAAATGTCCTTGTTTGGGCTTACTCCATGATCTTATTCTTTCCAGTTTCTTTTTCTTAATTTGTAGCTTTTATGACCTTAATACAATGTTTTTATAAGTACTTTATGACTGTTGAGCATGAATTTCTATATGCTGAAATTAGTAATCTTAGCTTATTATATTGTTTGGTTCTCTTTTGTTTCTGCTAATTGTCCTCTTGACCTCAGAGGGATGTTAGGATCTTGGGAATCTCCACTTAATCTGTTTTTCCTGTAATTCTTTATTATGTCATTTTTTTAAAAATAAAGGTAACATTGTTTTACAGCACTGTTTATGATTCAGAACTACAGGGTCCCATCTCTTCAGATGTGTTTTACCACACTACCCCTGTCACCAAGGCACCTATAGTCTGTCTGTGTTCCATCATGCCCCTTTTCCCTTTACTCTCCATGTTTTTCTCTAATTCTATCAGTTGTGGATTGGTACATTTTGAAAGTTGTATCATGTATGTGTTTGTGACATTTATCTCGTTCTGTTGTTCATTGTACTAGTATGTTATATCTTCCTTTGTATATTATGATATTCTTTGTCATAAATTACGTTTTGTTTGATATTAAGATAGCTATCCCAGCTTTCTTTTGGTTTTTATTTACCTGGCCTGACTTTTTCTCCACATTCTTGTATCATATTCTACTATGAATGGTTGCATCTATATTAGTGATATCAGACCATTCACTTTACATTCTCAAAAGTGATTTTTTTTTAATTGCTACATCACTCCTAATTCTTGAAAGTATTTATTATATTTTGTTTCTTCTCTTTTTTGCTGTCCATTGAATAGATCAATAGATCTTTTGGTTTCAAACTTAATGCTTTCTGGTTTTTGTTATGGTTAAAAATGACTCATAACCTAATACCTAGGTTTACTTACACTTAATTGATTTCTTAAATTTACCAATATCTGTATTGTTTACAAATTTACTTACTTTAGACCTCTTTTTTTCTTTTCAAGACAACAGTAAAACTAAGATATTGACAACCCATACCTTATATAGCATCTCCTGCATTCTTCTTTTTTCCCCACTTCATCAGAAATTATTTTTAATGAATATAGTGAGCTGTGGTTTAATTCCTGAACCCTGTACTTTTTAGTTTTTATTTTGCTTTCATATCTAAATAGTTTGGCTATGTAAACTCAAAAGTTCTTCAACATCTTAGTATGTTACCTTGATAACAGTTTGATTCTTTTTCATTTGTGTAGATTCCTTCCTTTTCCATTGAATATCTCTAGAGTATTCTTTTTTATATGCATTCATAAATCTCATCATGCCTGAGGATTTTCATAGTGCTTTTAACTCAAATTTATTCACATCTTCAGACAACTTTTCTCCTCTCGCTTTTTCAGCTGTTGCTCCTTTTGTCATTTATATTATATATATCCTCGCTTTTCTGTCTGTCTTTCTTGCTGCCTTCCTGGACAACTTTTCAACCTCATGAACTTCTCCATTTGAACCTATCTTGTTAATGCTGTTGGTTGTTTTAATTACTATATTTTTAATACTTCCCATTTTGTTTTAGATTTCTTGGTCTTGTGTCATTGTTAAATATCTTCTCTTTAAGTGTATTTACATCTTGTTTAAAATTTTAGTCCATTAATGCGGGTTCAGATGAAAAATATTTCATTCTTTCATAGAAATTGTACTCTGAAGCACAGGTACAATGGTGATAATCAGTTACTCTAATAATAATATTGGGAGGATTGAAGATCACACTCTGGTTTGTTACAGTCCTGTGGAGATTAAGGAGGATGGGATGGGATGGTATCAGCCTCATGGGAAGGAAGGCTCTTGCTACTTCAAAGTTGACTGACAATTCCAGGCAATTTTTCTTCACTGCTTTGGGAGAGGGCAGTTTCTTTGGTTGCAATTCATTGTGCTCAGAAGTTACATGTGTACATGCACCAGCTGGGTCTAAGTTTCTAGGGTTGATTTGTTTTGAGATGTTAACTGAGGGGGAGGCCCTCAGTTCATGCTATTTTACCGCCATTTAATAACACATTAAACTTCTAATTGTTAGATACAAAGTTTTTTCCTTAAGTAAAGTTGTAGTCAAGAACATTACATCATCTATAACAATCTGTATGGCAGGGAATTCTAACTTGGGTTCTGTTGTAGAGTTCCTGAAGTTAGGTTAATTTTGAGTGTGAACACTTAGGGGAAGTATAGGAGTTCATAATTTGATCATTCTTTATTGGGCTCGTAACTTAGCTGTGTATAACCTTTAAAAATCTATGCCCCATAGTGAATTGTTTGAAAAGTGAATTATATCTCAGTAAAACTGTTATTTTAATAATCCATATCCTCCCTTCATAAAACATTGCTATTTACTTTCAAATTCCAATTAAATACAGACACTAAAATAGAAAACAGTGATGTATAGGATATCATCCTTTTTGCCAATGTACATTATTTTTAAAAACTTAGGTGGTGGTGGTTATTCTCAGTTAGGATGGGTCAGTCCATGACTTTTTAACTTGTCAGACCAAATTTTACAGACCAAATTTTATTGCCAACACTGCCAACAGGGTTGATGATCTAATTTACATTTTCTTATTGTACCTTATTCATCTTTCACTTTTGAAATGAAAACTTCTAAAAGTCTAGAGTTTCGTGTATTACCTATCTTGAATTCTAATTATTTTGTATATACCCTTTGCTTGCAATAGGAAACTTAGTCATTAACTTTCATGCTTCAGATTCAGTATTGATTAAAGATGTGTGAGCTGTGTTTTATGGTGCTTATGTAACTAATGCCTTTTAACTTTTCAGCTTGCCTAGGGTAGTTAAAAGACGAGTGAATGCTCTCAAAAATCTTCAAGTTAAATGTGCACAAATAGAGGCCAAATTCTATGAGGAAGTTCATGATCTTGAAAGAAAGTATGCTGTTCTTTATCAGCCTCTATTTGATAAGGTAATGCTTTGTTCTACTTTGTTTTATTTATCCCAAATTCAAGAAGATAAAAAAGCTCTGTAAAGAAAGACAAACTTGAAGGTGGCAAATGGGTTATTAGGTATTTGGGAAACTATCAATAATAGCAGTTAAAGATTTATCCCACATGACTATAAATGTAGCTTAATGAGAAAACAGTTTTTTGCTTGGAGGCCAGTATTTTCATGCAGTCTCTTTGAAATCATTTTAGCGATTTGAGATCATTAATGCAATTTATGAACCTACGGAAGAAGAATGTGAATGGAAACCAGATGAGGAAGATGAAATTTCGGTTAGTACAGACTTAATTTTAGCATGTTTTTATATCTTGGAAGTATTTTCTTTATTGTAAGATGTGTAGTGAGTACATGTTTTCCCCTGAAACTTTTCCCTACAGCTCATGGCCCTGGTGGTTCTCTCTTTGGATAGGTACGGTAGTAGCAATATTTAAAGAAGTCGGGTTTGGGCCTCCCCTGGTGGCACAGGGGGGTTGAGCGCCATGCTGTGAAGCTGTCTGCAGCCTCTACAGTGCCAGTTCAATCCCGGCCAGCCGGCGAGGGTCCCACATGGCGCGGCAGACTTCTCCTGTTGCACCCTCTGCTCCCCTCAGCAGTGTATTTCGTCAATCTGCCTGTTCTGTTCCCCGCTCTGTCTCTGGTGAATCCTTTCACCCTCCTGTGCATCTGGCCTGTACCCTGGTTCTTGTATAAATAAATAAATAAATAAAATCTGTTTGAAAAAAAAGAAACCATTTAAAGAAGTCAGGTTTGGGCCTCCCCGGTGGCACAGCAGTTGAGCGCTGGGTTGCGAAGCTGCCCACAGCCTCTGCAGCACTGGTTCGATCCCCGGCTGCTCCCCAGCCACCAGAGGAGGGTCCCACATGGCGCGCGGACCTCTCCTGCCGCCTGCTGCTCCCCTCAGCAGTGTGCTTCAGTCCCTCTGCCTGCTCTGCTTCCCGCTCTGGCTCTGGTGAATTCTCTCACCCTCCCTTGCTTCTGACTGTACCCAGTGCTTGTATAAATAAATAAAATAAAATCTTTTTTAAAAAAATAAAGAAGTCAGGTTTGATAGAGGTAACTGCAGTGTTTACAAAAAAACTTTTACTGAAATTTTTAATTTGATTTGTTGACTTACGTACTTTTGCCACTGCATGTAAGTTAAAAGGATGTATACCATTTTATCAAGTGATCTAAATAGTAAATGCTGTCCTTTATCCAAGGAGGAGATGAAAGAAAAGGCCAAGCTCGAAGATGAGAAAAAAGATGAAGAAAAAGAAGACCCCAAGGGAATTCCTGAATTTTGGTTGACTGTTTTTAAGAATGTTGACTTGCTCAGTGATATGGTTCAGGTAATTTTATTTATAAAAACATCAGTTCAAAGCTTAAGCGAATGTCATGACTACTTTCTTCATTGTTTATAGAATGACAGCTTTCTTTTGAAACAGCTGTTATCTGTAGAAGGAAGCTGCAGTTTTGTTACTTGCAGTCAAGTAAATTACAATTAATATTTTAAAATTTGGTAATGAAATAGTCCCATTGATAATTGCTTGTCATTGACTGGTGCTTTTTTGTGGTCCCTGTCTTCAGTCTTTAGATATTTAATGTAGAAGTAGGATGAGGGAGTCTTAGCAGTCTCATTTATCTTTACCCAAAAAGACCTTTAAATCCAAAAAACATGCATTTTAAAAGAATATTATAAAAATCTCAAACTTTTGTAATTGTCACTTTCTCTAGGAAACCAACACAGATACTTTGTCCTCTGGGAAACTTTGCATCTCATAATTAGAAGCATATCATAAGAGACTCCTATTTACCTGGTAGTCTTAACTGTAATTTTTGGAATTTACTATCAAAATTATCTCAAAACAATGACTGCTTATTGTATTTCTGTTTTAGCAAAGTGTAAAAGAATCAACCAGAAGGAAAGCAACAAGAAGCATCAGGAAAAGGCAGCAATTATAATTGGGAAACATTTTTTTGAAACAAACACACCTTACTAAGACTTGGTATTCTACCTTTTAGCTGTATAATGTCTATGTAATGATACAGCCTTTTAGTCTGTAATGATACAGTTCTCTGGTCACTTTTTTCCAACTAGTGGCAGTAAAGTGGAACTTAAATAAATAAACTAGCTTTAGTATAAGTCATAACTTAAAGTAAACTTTAAGCTTTGTATTTATTATATAAAACTAAACTACAAAATGTCTCAGTCAGCCAAGTGTTTATCATCCATAACAGAATGTTAACTCTTAAATGCCATTATATAACTCATTTTAATATATATTTTTTAATTTGAAGGAACATGATGAACCTATTCTGAAGCACTTGAAAGATATTAAAGTGAAGTTCTCAGATGCTGGCCAGCCTATGGTAAAAGAACTTTGAAATATTTTCAGTTTTATAACATTAGACATTTACAGTAGATAAATGGAACTTTCTAGAGGGAAAGTTTATGGGTTAGAGAAAGTGTGAAGAAATTAACACTCATACTTGGTACTCTTGTTATTGGGAAGTAAAGGTGTGGGGTACTGATTGTGAATGCAGTATCTAGTATCTTCACTGAACATAAACTATTTTGGAAATAGAGTAATTTCTTGATCCTAGTTTGCAAATAGATTACAAAAAAAATAGCAAGGAAATACAAATAAAAAAACGCATTCTATATTAAAAGGCATGTGTCTCGGAATAACATAAATCATGTTAGAGGGTCCCTACTCAACCCATGATGAAAGATAAACCAACAGCTTCACCCCCAAAAGTCAGTAGTCCATGATGAATGGGCATTCATTTTTGTGATTGTAGCCTATAGATTCTTACATTGCATGTCCTAATGTTGGGCTTTTTCTCTGTCCAACTTGGGCTCTAGTCTTTAAGATTTAAAAACCTCTTAGGGGCCCCACTGGTGGCGCAGGGATTAAAGTTTCAGTGCTGTCAAGCTGTCACCAGCTACTGTGGTGTAAGTTCATGGTGCAGCAGACTTCTCCTGTCTTGGCCCACTGCTCCCCTCAGCAGTGTATTTCAGTAGATCTGCCTTTTCTGCTCCCCATTGTGTCTGGTGAATCCTCTCACCCCCCCATACCTCTGGTCTACGTCCCAGTACTTGTATGTACAGATAAAATAATCTTTAAAAACATAAATAAATAAGGTCCTCTTAGGATGGCAGGAGGAGAGGGTCATTGGACCTTTTCAGTTTATTTTGGTGTGCCTGACCTGTATTCTGAACATGTCACTACTGTAAGTTACTGAATCAAGTTTCAGTTTATTTTTAGACCTTGTTTTGTTTTTAAAAAAATTTGGGTCTTATGTGATTCTTTCCCAGAGCAGTAAAAACATTATCACTTAGAATTTTGTTTATAAAAATCATAGCTAAAGCATTGAAATAGATGATGTGGTACATCAATTTTTATACTTTTTATTTTAAAACAGAGTTTTGTATTAGAATTTCACTTTGAACCCAATGAATATTTCACAAATGAAGTATTAACGAAGACATACCGGATGAGGTCAGAACCAGATGATTCTGACCCCTTTTCTTTTGATGGACCAGAAATTATGGGTTGTACAGGGTGAGTTTAATTTTACCATTTCAGTAAAGGATGCTTATCCCTTTGTTTTGTGATACTTGGTACTTCCTAGTGTGTGTTTCTTATGTACGTGACATACATAGATTATCTCCAAGTTTTCAATAAAATGTTGTTTCAGAAGAACTTATCCATCCTGTATTCCAACTGTTTGTCCAAAGGATGACACATTTGTTATATTTTGAGTTTGTGCTAATTATGAACATGTTTCTTGGGGGGGGGGAAATGGGGAGGTAGAAATAAAAATGTTCATTTTATACTTCTATAGAAAGCAGTTAATTTAACCAATTTCCCTCTAAAATTTGAAATCTAAATATAATAATTCTTTAGAGAAATCTCAGCTCTCATAGGAATTGAAACTAATATGTAGTGATTAAAAGTTTTTTTTCCTCCTTTTGTTTTGATAGGTGCCAGATAGATTGGAAAAAAGGAAAGAATGTCACTTTGAAAACCATTAAGAAGAAACAGAAACACAAGGGTCGCGGGACAGTTCGTACAGTGACCAAAACAGTTTCCAATGATTCTTTCTTTAATTTTTTTGCCCCTCCTGAAGGTAAGTACTGTTTTATTTGGATATGGATGGTTGTTTGATTGTGTTTTGTTTAGTTTCTTACTCATTTGAATTTCTTCTCTCAATTTTGCAGTTCCTGAGAGTGGAGATCTGGTATGTTGAATTTTTCCTTATTTGTTGAATTTGTTTCACTGTACAAAATTAAAGGATTGGTTCTCATAAGTGGGGAAGTAAAATAATTGCTGTTAACATTTTGTTCTGATACTTGAAATGCATAGGAAACTGTGCATCTGAAAAATCCCATTCAGAATGCTCATTGAGAAATTCTAAAAGAAATACTTTATTTTGAGATTTATAAATACTGTTGTGGGGGACTGATTTTCAAGACTGTAGTATTACTAGACTCCTCTAGCCACAGTCTGGTTAGAACTCTCTGTGTTTGTTATTACAGCGGAAATATGGTTTCATACTGTGGCCAGGTGTGTGACCATATAGCCAAAAACGATAGATTGTGCTTAGCGTAGAGCCTGGAATGAGGAACAACCTCTAAAGAAATCTGTGCAGGGGTAGACTAGTTCTGTCTTGAATATGTTTTTATGTTTGTCAGATTTTTTTTTTTTTTTTTTTGGTTTAAATGAACTGAGCTGATTTAAATAGTTTATATATACACAGAATTAAAAATTATGTTCATTGGAATAATTTGAGCTAAGTAAGGCTTAGATTAGATCTGCCAAAGGCAAGTATTTCTGCCGAAAAGGTAATAACTGGCTTGATTCAAGATAGTTTTTATAGGGTAAAAATGGAGACTATAAACTCTGTTTATAGTGTTAGTCATTGTTTAGTATCATAGAATTAAAACAGGATTCTTTTAATTTGAATAATATTGTACCATTTCTGTGCTTTGCCACTAAATAGAAATCCTAGATTGACTTAATCCGTTATCAACTGGGACGTTTCATTTGGTATTTTATTAGCTGCCTTGAGTATTGTTATTTAGAAGTATAAAATAGTCCTCTGTGATCTTTTATTTTGTGCCGTATACTTAATATTAGTTACCAAAGCTTTAGATTCAGACTTACTACTTGATCCTATTTGGTTTTTCTTTTTTTCAAACTTTTTATTTTTATTACTTTAAAAGAAAAAAACGCAGTTGTAACAAAGTTGCTTTTATATTTTATTTGTAAACCAGGAAAATAAACTAAGCCATAAACCAGTTTTGATTTTTATTTCTCACAATTTCTGAGTGTGTATACTGGTCTGCTGACTTAGCTTCATTTTATTAAAAATCTTCTAAAGCTAGGGTGTATGTAGATGACTGTTTGGTCACACATTTAAGCTAAATGACAAAGTTAAAAGTGAAGTTTAGTTTCTCCATATGATTTAAACTGGAGTCTTGCATATGCAACTTAACAAAATTAATAAATCTTGTACTTTTGTTTATTAAACAACAACATAAACACAGGATGATGATGCTGAAGCTATCCTTGCTGCAGACTTTGAAATTGGTCACTTTTTACGTGAGCGTATAATCCCAAGATCAGTGTTATACTTTACTGGAGAAGCTATTGAAGATGATGATGATGATGTGAGTAATCTGAATCCTGCCATGAAATCATTTGATAGGGAACGAAATTGGTGAGAGATGTAATTTTTAACTGTTAAAAGAGATTCTCTTAGAATCTTTGGATTTATTTTATTTAGCTGCTAATAGGAAGACTTCTGAATTAGTAAAATTTTATTGATTAGTATTAAGGTATAATTAGACTGCCCTGAAATCTTTGGGTGTCTTTATTGCTAGATGGCAAATACTCCAAAGAGTTTTAGCTCCTTTTTGTACAGTGTTCCCTTACAAGTAAAGGCAAATAATATTTACAGTAGTAGTTGTCTGCTCTTTAATTTTTTTTACATATGTCAGGTTTAGATTATGGAATTAAGTTGAGAGGTTCTTCTAGCTTTTTCCTTTATCATCATTTTGCTTTAGGAGAAGTTAATCTTTCTTCTTTTTAGAATATTAGTGGACACAGTGATAGATTTAACTATAGCTACTCTCAAATATTTGTTAGCTTCATTCAAATTTCACTCTTTTCTTCCCTTTTTAGTATGATGAAGAAGGTGAAGAAGCGGATGAGGTAATGTTTACCAAATGAGCAAATAATACTCTGTTTAAAAATTGAGAGACTTGTGTATTCCATTACTATAATCATTCTGTCATACGGGATAAACATGTTTTTGGAAAAAAAAATATGATTTTAGAGTTCAACAGCCAAACAATGTATGTATAAGGTTTCAATAAATAAATTGCTACACTCAGAACATTTTTTTTTATTTCAAATAATTCTGTTCTGCTGCAGGGTTATCAGCTCTTTGAAGAAGTCAAAAGCTGCAGTAAACTTTTTCAACGTTGGCTGCAGTAAATCTTTTCAATAAAAGCTGTCTGGATGTCTCAAGTTGTGTTGGGAAATTTTTCATATTAGAAGCTTTCAGATTAAATTGCATTGTCACCAAACTGTAATCATGAAAATCTGTTGACCTATAGAGTAACTTTTATTAAATTCACCCTACGTTATGAGCCATTTCTTCCTACTATGTACCTACTTCATGGATGCATTTTGAACTTTAATATAGGAAGGGGAAGAGGAAGGAGATGAGGAAAATGATCCAGACTATGACTCAAAGGTGAGCAAAATTGGTGCTGCTTTCTATTAAATTCAAGGCTGGTTAAGTAAGAGATGGATGTTTTTGAGTATAAAATGAATTTTTGTCCATTAAAGTATTTAATAGAAACCCATTGACTGAATAAATTTTTAATTTCCATGGGCATTCATTTCAACAAAACAATTTTAATGCATTGTTCCTAAGGTGGCTTTTTTGTTTGGTTGCTTGGGTGGTTGGTTTTTTTGGGTTTCTGACCTTTTCAGGTTAACTAAACCCTAGGATTCTATTTTAGTGGCACATTGTCTTGGGCATTTTTTTCCCTTTTTCATAGTTCTTTAGAAGCTTTTTAAATTACCTATTGTTTGTGTTCTTAGGTTTTCCCTCCAGAGACGAACTTTAAGTGAAGGTCAGGTTTTGAATCATTTGAAGGCAGGAGTGCTCGAGAATAAGGGAAGCAGTATTAAATTTACCCAACCACCTCTACTCTCCAACTCTGAGAGTCCCTGTCTGTTACTTATGGGAAGTTTTCATATCAGAACTAGTAAAGGTCTTTATGTCCCACAAAATAAATGTACATTATCAGACTTTATTTGAAACTTCTGGATTCTTTTTAATGCATTTACTCATTTGCTAAATGTTGTAAAATATGTTATAAAATATTCAGGAGATGATTTAACCTACTAAGCAGGTAAGAGAGGGTAGTTAAAAATCAAAATAAATATTTTAACAGGTAAGAATTACTCCTTAACAACAAAATATGAATGGAACTAGTATTTTTGGTGAACTTTTTTTTAATAAATCAAAAATAATTGATAATGAATTGCTTGATTCTTTGTATTGGCTTAGTATGTCTTATTTTAAAAAGTCCATTCCACAATGTGAAGTTTGGGCTTTATTTTAACTTAGCTAATATTTGAATGAATTCGTTATCCTTGTGATACCATTTTTTTGGGCCAGAATTTTGACAGAACAGTGAGATCATGTGATAATTTTTCAATAGTAACTATCTTAATTAACGGAAGCAGGTAGAGAAAGATAGATTGACTTGTTGTTTTCCTTTAACAGAAGGATCAAAACCCAGCAGAGTGCAAGCAGCAGTGAAGCAGGATGTGTGTGACCTTGAGGATAACCTGCACTGTAATAGCCTAAACACAACTATTATTTACTTACAGCCTTATGTTTTTGTATTGGTAGACTCAGTCCTTTTTTTTTTTTATTATTTTTTTTTAAAGAAAGGAACGGACATTTGAAGACCAATTTGTTCTACTTAGCATTTTAACTATAGTTCTTCTGCCAGATATGTTGAAGGCACAAATTCTCTCACGCATGTTCATTCATTGCTACATAGTTTGGTTCTTCTGGAGTATTTCTATCATGTAGCTCTTAGATTACAGTTACAGAAGTGAACAAAATTGTTAAACAGATTTTTGCTTTACTGATTTTTTTCCTGAAGAACCAAAGTTTTTTTTCAGCTGGTAGTTGAATGGATTTAAGTTTGCTTGCATTAGCTGTGCCTTTCATTATTTTGTTATAGAAATCTGTGACTTATAAGACTATTTGTAATTAAAGGAGAAAACTTGGCCAAGAGAAGTAATATGGTTAAGAATTTCCAGTAAGACCATACCCAATAACTTAGATTGTTACTGGTTTTTGTGTTTTAGGTAGTATGTTTAACTGCAAGAAACCTAACTTATTGTTTTGTTATTGGTTACCACAGGGAGGTGAATAAAACATAGTATTTTCAGAAGTTAACCTCATTATTTTAAGTGTACTTTAAATTTAACCTCCATTAACTAAGCATCTTTTCTTTGTGGTAGGGTCTTCCTTCTGCTTCCCTGGAAAGGATGAATTTTCAGCTTTTGACAAGCCCATTTCAAGTTTTTGTTGTTGTTTGTGTGTTTGCTTGTTTGTTTTTTGCAGCCTAAAATAAAAATGTCAAATATAATTTTAGTTCTCATCAGATAATGTCTTAATTTTGTACTAATTCAGGTAGAAGCAGAACCTTGCTTGAATTAACTTTGTACCCAGTTTACCATATTATTGAAGAAATGGGTGCCATTAAGAGGTTTAACACCCAAAGAAAGTATATTAAAAAAAAAAAAAAAGACAAAACCTTAAATCATACAGTGTTTTATTACGAGAAAGGTTAATTTTTTTGTTTGTTTTTTTTTTTTTTTTTTTTTTTTTTTTGTTAGAACCAGACAGAAGGCACCAAACCTCTATGGTTAAATCCAATTCTCATTGCTTAAAGTATGAGTATGTCATTTACCCATGCTTCTATTTACTTTGTATTAAAATGGGTAGTACTGTTTACTTAAACTACCTCACAGATATGTTAAGACATATTAAGTTAAATTTTTCATTAAAAGCTCAAAAAATTTGACCTATTTGTGTCACAAGTTTGATAATTCAGAATTTTATTCGTACCAGGATTTGATAAATTAAACGGAAAAACAAAGGTTAAGTACCTCTATTCTGGATATGGCTAGGCAACACTTGCCGAGATTGTGTGGCTCCTACTTTAATAGAAGTAGATAAATGAGCAACTGTTTCAGAAGGTCCAGTGATTGTTTTCATATACTGTAGCTACAGCCATATTGTAGTAAATACTGCAAAGATCATGGGACTAAATAAGATAATTTTTTGGAAGAAAAATTTGCCATTTAAATTTGAGACTGTAGAGTCATATTTAAAATACCTCAGGCTAATTACTGTTAATTTTTTGTGATAAACTTAAAAATTTTGACAGTGAGGGTACAGTAACTAGATTGTAATTACAGGACAGTCTAGAGTTCTACTAATAAAATTACATTGGGTTCATTTTTAGAGGTAAGAGTTTCCTTTTTGAAAATCTAGTCTTGGAATGTGAATGCGTTTTTGTTCATTGTATAGCACTGTCCCGTTTCTCCCAAGATTTTTAACTACTGGAAATCCTTAACCAACCAATAGTTTGTAGGGGGGAAAAAATGCCATGAAAACACCATATGTTTTTCCTTTTTTATTTGTCAAAATGATTTTGGTTGTTTTTAGTTAGACATCTTACGCTGACTTTGTTTTGGTACCCATAACTCATCCGAACACAGCTTTTTCTGAACTTCCAAATTTTTAATCTAAAGATAGAATCCCATTTTTAATGAGAAAGAAGTAGCAAAACCATAACTTTCCCCCCATTTCTTTAGGAAATAGCTATTGCCAAAGTGAAGGGGTAGATACTATTTTGTTTTGTTATACATGTGGGGGATTTGGTTTGCAGAGGAGTTGTTTTCTTAATAAAGTTGGCGTTCCAAAGGATATCAGTGTTCATATATGCCATTTCTCCAGTTCCAAAATGGTTCTATTCCATTTTAGAAATTTGAAATATGTAACTTGAAATCCTTAATAAAATTTGCATTTAATTTTATAAAAACGTACTGGTGATATTTTGGGGTTTTTTGTTTTTGTTTTTTAATGAGCATATAAGTACTTTTTTGTGGGGAAGAACAGGTGTTTAGAAATAGGATATTCTGTGCTTGGGCCAGTACAGCATGTAAATTTGTATAATTTTAAGGGCAAACTCTTAAATCCTTTTTTATAAGTAGGAAAACTGGGATGAAAAGGAATTCTTGAGTTCCTACAGATTGTTCTCAGTTAACTTAACAGACATTATTGAGACATTTCAGATTTTGTCTTTACAATCTCAGATTATAAATTGCTGCAGCCCAAGTAGTTTTCCCTTTAGAAATGGTAAAATTCCATAAAATCACCTGTAAATTAATACTTTGATCAAGCAAAATTATGTCATTTTATGGTCACTTAAGTATGGCAAACAACAGCTATATAAACTAGTTTTAACATGGATGTCTGAAAGTTTAATATCTGAATTCTTTTAGTTAGTATTTCTGTGACATGAAAATACTTCAGTTGTGTGGAATTGACTAAAATGGGATTCTACCTCTTTCCTTTTTAGATCGTTTAGTAACCAGTAAATCTGGAGACGTTAGCTTCAAAAGAAATATTTTTATTCTGTGAATAGGTTAATGATATTGATTGGTGTATGATAAGGGCCCTTAAGATAACACTGTTTATGTTCACTGCTGCTTGTAATACAGTAGTATGAGTTTGTGAGTTTATCTGAGTTGTAGGCCCATTCTCATTTTAAAAATGATAATTCGCATTAGTGTTTGTGAAAACCTTATAGCACCGTGCAGATATACTAACCTATTTAATATTCAAATATTCTTTGAACGCTTGGTTTAGAATCTGAGTCCATTTTTTATTGGTTAGTCTTATAAAAATCTTAGCCTTTATATTTTTGACTATTTAAATCAAGCAAAATGTATTTTAAATGTACAGAATAAATGGATAGCTTAGAAGCATATAAATGTTCTATCTCCATAGTTTATTTAGGAAAGAAATCATGCTAATTCAGTTTTTTCTTTTAATCTCCACTGTATATATAGTTGGTAATTGTGAACTGGATTTTATTTTGAAAATAAGTGTTCTTAATTTAGATAATTTGCTACTTTAAAGCACTAAATCTAATAGCTGAAAAGTATATGTAAATGATGGTGGAATTAACTGAGATTAACTTATAGATGTATACTGGTGGTTTTTGTATACTGGTTTAAAAATCCAGATATTAAACTATAACCTGCTTAAAAGCCAAGTTCTTGGACTGATGAAGGCTCATCTATATGACTTCAGAGAAACGTCTCGCTGGAATGTGAAATTATTTTAAGGGTTGAGTATTTAAGAGAAATTTTAATTGATTTGTTCTGTTACTATTTTTTTAAAGTATTTTATTTGACATCACTACTTTTGAATTTTTCATTAAAAATTGATATATTGACCATTCTTAGGTATAAAATGAGAAATAGAGCCTAAAAATTTAGAAATATAAATTGCTACCCAGAAGTAAGTTGTCCACATACTAAGTTTTCATGTTGAAAATTGAGAGTAGCTTTTGTAGATAACTTCTCTGTTTTGGATTTTATTATTTTGAAACTCAATTTTGCTTTAAATAAAGACAGTACTTTTAGTTTTTCATGTATCTTAGCCATAAAATAGGAAGAAGGAATTTGGGGGATAAGAGAGCAAAAAGACAAGTATCAGCATTTGACAGATACAGTAACAAGAGTAAAGTGATAGTATTCATAATTTTATTCATGATGAAATTAGGCAGTTGTGACTCTAATAAACTCATAGATGGTAGAAGAGTTTTTGCCATAATGCGCCGAAGTTGTTGGAAAGGTCTTAGTTGGGATTTCAGGGATGACTAGGAATTGTGAAGTGAGGGATGGGAGTAGAAAGCAGTTCAGATGAAGGTGCTGAATGAAATAGGACAACTTGGCACAACATGATTATAGAATGACTTAAAAAGCATTTGAAGACATTGTAAACCACCTATTTATAGGATACCTCAAGTGAGGGTGACCTCTCAATGAAGATAATTTTCAAACTAAGGATAGACAAAGCCATTTGAAAATAAGACCACTTGAGGTAGTGGTCTCAGGGCTAGTTAGAAATTAGGTAAAGTATTTTAGCTTTATCAAAATAAGGGGTGAATTTTTAAAATAATGAGTTCAAAGTTACATGTAATGAATCCTTTAAAAGTCAGATTATTTTTTTTCCCACAGTGATCCTTTATCCATACTGCCACTTTTCTCTGAAAGTATAATAGTTGAAAGAATTCTACGTTGCATACTCAAATCACGATTTATATTTTGCTAGTAGCTCTGTATTTTCATGTGTATACACATTCCTTGTAAACTGACATTTGCAGATAGTGTTCTGTTTAAATGCCTACACACACACACACACAGCAACTCCCCTTGCTGTTTTTCCACTATGAAGACATTCTTACAGGATCACAATACAGTTAAATCTAAACCATGAAATCTCAACCCATTTAATGATTAAGTCACCCTGGATTTGACCAGAGTTTCCCTTTTCAAGCTGGTTTCTATGTACTTTTGTTGTGTCTTGACTTATTTGAGCTCTTATATAACCTGTAGCTCAAACATTTTCTCGTCTCAGACTTTCTTCTTTTGATCCCAATACTGAAATTGGCTTTTTAAGGATTCCTTTAGATAGGGAATGGTATTTAGAAACCAAGTGCAGGGTGTTCCTGGGATATAACCTTGTTTCAAATCTTTTCAGGTGACACAATTGGGAGGTACATTGAAAACATTACCTAGAGGTGGATGCAACACAATATGATTTTTCTTAGCCTTACCCCACTTTTGTGTTGTAACTCTATAAAGTAGGTGGAGTTTGATCTAACTTGGAATTGTAGATGGGGTTGCGCTTGAAGGAACAAACCATGAATGAAAATGGAAAAGATAAAATTTTAATGAATGTGAGAAAGTAGTCCACATTATCAGGTAGCATAATGGTAAAACCATAGTTTTCCTTGTTTTGATGTCTAGCTTAATAAGAACACAGTTCCTGAGATACTTTGAGATTATTTGATAGAAATGTGTCTTGTAAACATGAGAACCTAGAATTTGTGGTTGGGGTCAACTGAAATGATTTTGGTGGTTTCAGAGCTCTAGGCAGAGTTTTGTTTTTGTTTCTAAAGCATAACTCCTGGTAAAGACGTGTTAGGAACATCATTACTGGTAAACAAAGTCTGTGGACCCCTATCTCAAAAGTTTGTGGTGTGCACTTGGCTAAAATCAAACTAGATTTCATAAAATGATTGTTTCCATTTGCTGATTTACTTACTACTTTCGTCTTTGGCTGAATCTGTGATCTGGGCTAAAAAAGTGTAATTGTATTTAGATGTCCCATGTTTCAAAAAACCCAGGTTGTCATTATTTAGTCAGTCCTCTTCAGCCCTAATAGTTACCTGGAGCCCTGGACATTGGAATGGACAGTCCTGGGGGTGGATAATGAGAGATGGTGTCTGTCTTGAGAACACATGATTTTAAATTTGGATTTGGCCACTCTATGTATCAAAACTTAAGGCTGGATTTCTTGTTTTTGCTGTTCTGTTGACTTGGTGAATGGACCTAAAACCTTTAGATTAACTTGGACATCAACATCCCAGCTTATCCAACCTGCATTTGTACCTGCACAATGTTTCAGCGTGGCTCAACTAGGCTGTTTTTACTCCCTGCCATCTGGACTTTGTGTGTATATCATAATACTTCAACATAGGATTCATTTCTGTTAAATGAATATCTACTCCTTTTGCAAATACACTTCACTTCTGAACTGGGTTTACCAGTTCAAATACTCAAGGGATTTTTGCTCACTATTGGATTTCCTAAGTTTTAGTACTGACTGGGTCTGGAAGATGAAGTATTAAGCAAATTTTTGCATGCATAGCTCAATTAGTTTGAGCACTTCCTAGTGTATTACCTATGCATAATACTGTATAGGAACATGTAGAAAGGTAAGTGATTTCTATGTGAAGATAATTCAAGGTCCCTTGTAGTTACATTCATACATCCTGAGTCACAGTGAAAAAAACCAATAAATACTGGATTGTGCACGGTGTAAATTCAATGGGAGTATGAGAATATGGGGAATATCAATAGTTAACTCATTGCATACAAAACTAACAAATGATTTTGCTGGCTCTTAGAGGATAATTCTTTTCTCCTGTACTGAGCATCAGCACGGTCAGCCTTTAAGATGAGGGATAGGAATCATCTGAAGGCTCTTAGGCGCAGATGTTTGGTTCTGGATGAGACCTCAGCTGGGTTGTAGTCAGAATTATTTGACATACCTAATTGCAATGGTGGCCGAGTTCCAAGAGCTTGTCAAGCAGTTGTATCCTTTTTGTGACCTACCCTGAGAAATTACTGTATTGACTAGCACTAGTCAGAAAACCCCAAGTTTAACGGCAGTGGACTATATCCCAATTTTGAAAGAGTGGAACTAGGATATTGTAGTGGCTACAAGTTACCTTTTTTATTTATTTATTTATTTTTGTGATACAGTTAGCTACAGTGGTCTTCCAAAATGACCAGAAGTACCAGGAAAGGTTAAATTAAATGCCTGTTGGAGAAATAATGACTACCATATTGGAATCTTACTTGGAGATACTTGGACAATTGAGATTCCTAGATGTGTGGGTAATTAGTTCACTTCTGAAAAAAAAAAAAAAGTCAAGTTTGGCAAAGTTTATAAGCCGACCACAAAGTATAGTTTACTTTAACGGTTACAGTGAATTCAGAGGGAAAAAAATCTACACAGTAAATCTTATGTAAGACCAAAGATGTCTGTTTAAGATAATGGAAGTTTAAGATCTTACACTTATCCCCCCTTTTCATATAACAATGGAAGTTAGGTATGTTTACTATCAAGGATACATCATTGATTTGTGATGAAACTGGTATTTGATGTCAGTTTCTTTGGCCTCTGCCTCTACTCCTACCTCCTCTGAGAGACCTGCGTTGGCTTCCTTGCCGATAACCTTGTGCACACATCTGATGATCGGTGAAATAACTTTAAGCTGGAAATTAAAGAATATTAGAGGCCAGTGTTAATGTGGACTTACTTTGAAATAGCCATTCAGGCATTCATAACCTCACGAAGTTTGCATCTGCATTGACTGACAAGCTAAATAGTATGTGGCTTAAATAGTCTTTTTCTTTGTTTAAGTGTAGACTCTGGGACTGGTGTGGGAACAACAGTGGGGGTGTAGGCCAGAGGTGGGGGGAAGGTGAGAGGATTCACCAAAGACAGTGGGGAGCAAAAGGATCAACTGAAACACTGCTGAAGGGAGCAGTGGGCAAGACAGCAGAGGTCTGTACCATGTGGGTTAGCTCCCTGGCCAGGGATCAAACTCTGTAGTGGCTGCAGATAGCTTCATAGTGCTGAGACTTAACCCCTTCCACCACCAGGCAGGCCAGACACTGCTTCAATTTTTAAAGTTGTATTAGTGTCTTAAATGCGTGCTGCACCTCTGTCATGTCCAGGTTCAAGGTTGCACCTGAGGCTGAAGCAGGTGAGACTCCTGGCCTCCATCCATCTTTAATGAAGAGCCTGGAGTTTGTCCTTAAAAACACCAAGGCTGGTAAATACATCAGACCTAGACACAGAAGCTGTGTTTGTTAGGGATTGGGAGAGTGCGCACTGGCCATCTATACTGAAGAACCTCGAATTTGGAAATGGTTTCATCAAAAATAACCTAAAGCACGCAAAGCAAATACTACATTTCAGAAATTTAAAAGCCCTGGAAAGGTAATTTAGGAATACAGCCCCAAAGGGTGTTTAGTCAGCCTTCATCCAAGGCTTTCACGGTATAATACCTTTCCCAGAATGAACTGTAAATAGAAAAGAACAAGTTTCTGATCCATCAAAGCATGCTAATTTTAAGTAAATAATGATTTAGTTAAGCACATAGTTGGTATTTATGAATTGTGGCATGTTGTCTATAACGGGGATTTGCGTTTTCTGGTAGCTTTGGTGGCAATGTGAAAGCTTGCCATGAAAATATTTCCTGTGTTCTATTTCTGGTAAAAATGTCCCTTCACCTTGATGGGTCTGGCTATTCCTAAAGAATATTTTATTCCTTTTACTCTTACCTTCCAGTTGTCCGTCATCTGTGATACACCCTCCATTGTCCAATTACTTAACTTAGAAGCCTAAGTTCTCCATTTGCACCACCCAAGCAAGCTTATACCACCTTTACCCTTCATCCAATTTTTTAAATTAAGTATGCATACAAGAGCTGGGGCACAGGCCGGATGTGTTGGGGGTGAGAGGTTCACCAGAGACAGTGGGGAACAGAACAGGCAGATCCACTGAAGTACACTGCTGAGGGGAGCAGCAGGCGAGCCAGGAGGGGTGTGATGTGCCATGTGACTTGCTCCCTGGCTGGCGGGGGATTGAACTTGTGCTGAAGTGGCTGCGGATTGCTTCATAGGCTGCGTCTTAATCCCTGCGCCTCCAGGGAGGCCCCTTCATCCAATTTTTGAAAGGAATTGTTTGCACTTTGTTTTCTAAAAAAGGATCTTTGCTCATTTACTGAAATTTTCTTTTTTTACAGATACCAACAATGATCAAGTGGAATATATGTTCAGACTAGATTATCTTGTAATATGTTTTATTGGAAAGAAGATTGTAAAAGGGAATCACCCTTGCCCAAGTGGTTATCAACCAGTTGTTTTGAGTTAACAGGAGCATTTACCTAGTTTGAGAAGTATATCTAGGAAAGACCACGTCAGCTTTTGATGGAGGGCTGTTCTGCCAGGGGAATGATCATAAGTTTAGTACTTCTGTCAATCACTATTAATACCTGATGATTCTGCCACCCCCAAGACCTAGAAATCAAGAGTACCAATATATTTGTAGCTGTTAACGTGACAGCATTGTATTGGTTCTTAGTTTCTTTTACCTTCTCCTTGGTCATCACCTACATACAGATGATGTATTCTCGCCTATATTATGAATTTATTGCAGAAATAAGTCCCTGCTTCACTCATTTCTCACTTCTAAGTTAATATTAAGTATACTCTAATCTCAGTTACTATTACACATCCTCAAAATGTTTATATGAGGCCTGTCTTATAGAACTGAAGCCTTATTAATACATTTCCAGCCAGAACTCAAACTAGTTATCAGTCAGCACTTAGCCTCCTGTCATGATCTGTTCAACTGCTAGGCACATTGATGAAAATACTGCCACTGAAGATCTGTTAATGATCAGACAATGCTGGAATATGATTAGGAATGAATTAACTCAGCCAAAAGAAGCGCAAGAGGTAGGATTTGGTGAAGCGAATAGTGAGTGTTGGGGGGCTCATTTAAAAGTTTGAATTGTGCAGGCAAGTAGGCTTATTGTGTGAGAGCTCTCCCTGCAAGGTAAGGAGTTAGAATGTTAGATAATGAGGTGATTGAAAGTTTTCTCATTTCAGGAATAGGGCTGGTGCAAGGCACAATAAGATTGTATGGATTCAGGTGGTTAGGCTATCAGAAAATGCTCAGTGGGAGGAGTGAGGGTCTACATTGGAATATATCGAAATGGGATGAACACAGAGCTGATTACTTAAAACATGGGTTATAGTTTAAAAACATGAGCATGACATTAGACTTCTCTTAACTGTTACTCAGGTTGGTCACTAGGTGGCAGCAGTTCATCAGGAAGCAGGGTGACCTAGCTAAAAGAATCCTGGAGAGTTTGGACTTGATTTTACTGTGTGTTGTAAGTCCTGTAATCCAGTTGTAAATGAAAGTAAACATTCTTTAGCAACATTTTCAAGTTCTTTTCAGTGCCTATGCCAGTATTGACTAATGGACTTGTAAACTAGTAGTTTCACTGCCAACTAAGAGAAATTTATTGTTTCTCATACTTCTAATAGCTCTTATTAGAAACAAATAGGACAGGGCCTCCCCGGTGGCGCAGTGGTTGAGCACTGGGTTGCGAAGCTGCCTGCAGCCTCTGCAGCACCAGTTCGATCCCCGGCTCCTCCCCGGACACCAGAGGAGGGTCCCACATGGCGCGCAGACCTCTCCTGCCGCCCACTGCTCCCCTCAGCAGTGTACTTCGATCTTTCTGCCTGCTCTGCTCTCCGCTCTGGCCCTGGTGAATTCTCTCACCCTCCTGCGCTTCTGACTGTACCCAGTGCTTGTATAAATAAATGAATAATAAATAAATCTTAAAAAAAGGAAATAGAACAATAGCTTATGTAAATTAGCCTCACAATATCAAGTTGCATTTTGTTCAGAAGAGAAAATGATTGTAGGACTTTAGTGATACAGGATGTATTAGCATTTAAGATTCGAAGGCCTAGCATGTATTGTAGTAATTCATTTTAAAAACACCAAATAAGTATTGGTACAGCAAGATTTGGATGTTATTTCATAAAGTCCTGCTACAAAAACTTTAAAAATAGGGCGTGTTACAGAAATCTGTCAAGAGGATTTTACATTTATTTTATGACAAGGGCTTCAGAGTTAACACTATTATGTGTCAAGATTTAGACTAGATGATTGGAATAAATCTAAATAATGATTCTTGCTCTCTTAAAGAGCTTATGTTTTAAGGGGAGGACTAGACATAAGCAACAGGCATACTAAATTTTCTAGTAATATGTTAGATTATACATGCAATAGGAAGAACAAATTGGGTGACTACAGTTTTAAGAGTGATTAGGATAGGGTCTCACTAAGATGACATTTGGGCAAAGACTTGAAGTGATTTGGATGACCATGGCTGCTATGTTGAAAATGGGAATTGAGATTACTGCAGTAATTCCAGGGGAATGATGATTTGGATCAAGGTGCTAATGAATGCTAACTCAAAACTACAGATGTAGTGGGATTTCCTGACTAAATTTGTGGGTTGGCTATTGAAAGAAATCGGTAAAGGGTTACTTAACTGCAAGACAGCTATTCTAAACGTGCAGTCCTACGGCAAGCATATTATGGAGATAACAATAGTTAAGTATTTAAAAGTTTTGTTAATTGAAAATACATCCAATGCTACTATCTTGATAAGTAGATCTTCATAAGTAGCTTGAAGTACTAGATTTAGATTTAAAATTCTTAAAAATTCCAGTGCCAGGGACCTCGCTGGTGGTGCAAGTGGTTAAGTCTCAGCACTATCAAGCTATCAGCAGCCACTGCAGCATTAGTTTGATACCTGGCCAGGGAGCTGACCCACATGATGCAGCAGACCTGTCCTGTCTAGCCCACTTCTCCCCTTAGTGTATTTCAGTAGATCCACCTGATCTGCTCCCTGCTCTGTCTCTGGTGAATTCTCTCACCCCCCACACCTCTGGCGTACACTTCAACGGGCCTCCCCTGGTGGCGCAGCGGTTGAGCGCTGGGCTGCGAAGCTGCCTGCAGCCTCTGCAGCACTGGTTCGATCCCCGGCCACCGGTGAGGGTCCCACATGGCGCACAGACCTCTCCTGCCGCGCCTGCTGCTCCCCTCAGCAGTGTATTTCAGTCCATCTGCCTGTTCTGTTCCCCGCTCTGGCTCTGGTGAATTCTCTCACCCTCCCATGCTTCTGACTGTACCCAGTGCTTGTATAAATAAATCAATCTTTAAAAAAAAAAAAACTAACAAAATTCCAGTGCCAGAACATTGCTTGTGATCAGAATTGATCCTCATCTCATGTCCCGCCCTTGCATTCCCATTCTTGGCTCTGAAAAGGTAAAGGGCCTCTTGCACATTTGTGTGCACATCAATGTGCATGCAGCAGATAATGCATTCTCTGGAACATTTAGGCAGGTTATGAAATCCTTAGTGCCTGGAGTGTAGTCTGGTATGATTATGAGCTCTATGTAGACACATTCAACTTTGATTCTTGTAATGAGGACCTTTTAGTTTCAAGGACGGTGGTGTGCCACGGTTTTAGGCCTGAGCAATGGTACAGGTGGCATTGTTAATCTATTGAGAAGGGCTGCTGATGTAGGTCTGAGTAAGGAGGTCAGTTTGGGAACACATATTTGAACTTTTGATTAGATCTCTAAATAGTACTAAAGAGAAGGGTAAAAAAAAAAAATTACAGTAACACTGGCATGGAATATATCAAAACAGAAGGCCGATTTTTCACTGTGACCATTCCAAACAGCTAAAGCTGTTTAAAAACTAGAAGCTTTGACTCCAGACCCTTACTGAACCAGTTCTAGCTGGAAATTTGTTTTAATCCATCATGTAAACGTGATTTCCTCCATCATATACAAAGTGCTACTTTTCTTTATTAGAAAAAGTTTTATGAAGCCTATTTTTTAGGGACCTAGAATCCCCTGTCTCTCCAGTAACCTACTCAGTGCATGCATTCAGTATGTGTTATCTTTCCTGACAGGTCAGCAATTTTTAATTTGGGTATTTCTTTGGTAACAAGCAGTCAGGTATAATTTAGGGAGTCTTTGGCACATAGATATCTTTGAAAATGATGAGTCTGGATGAGATCAACCTGGGAGTGAGTTTATATAAAGAGGTCCTCAAGACCTGAGCCCTGGGCCATGCCAACATTAAAAAGATTAGGGGAAAGAGGAGGAACCTGTATAGACTGAAACAAGTAAGATAGAAGGGAAACTAAAAGTGATGTCTTTGAAGTCAAATGAGCTCTCCAAAGGGAGAAAATAGTCAACTGTGTTAGACACTGCTGGTCAACTTGATGTAGCCAGTCATAATAGGCAATTTGAATCATTTCAAATTTGTTTCCTAAGCAATTTTGTCAGCTAACTCTAAACGATAGTTAACTTATAAGTGATATTTGTAGATTTTTGTTTGGTTATAGCTGAAGTCTTGGTGTTGGGGGCTGGGGGAAGAGCAGTTACTTCCTGGGAATTTTGGTATCTTAAATATTGCCATATGGCCATTTTTGTGAGATGGTGGTGACTGTTGAAATAATAGCAAACTTGCCACCAGTCCTGTATACTTCCAATAATGAATGCACTATGGGGTCAGAGAGCACACTGTAGACTTAACCTTGAGCTGCTCACAGAGTCACAATGTGAAATACCCAACTGGAAATTCTGAGTTTAAAAGTCTTAAAAAGTCTTTAAGTGATTCTGACAATCATGCTGCTGGTTCAGGCATTTAAAGTAATTTAGAATTGAACGTATTTGTTGTGCCCCAACAAACCTCAGAATATTAGCTATCTTAAAACCAAACGTGGTATACAGCATTTTTCCATATATGTCTCCCAATTAACCCTGTCATCAGAGACTCTGAATTGCACACTTAAAGGAAGTATCCTTTCCAGATGAATTGAAGAATGCCATTCTGTTAAAAAGATGAACAGCTGATCATGCAGAAATTCTCTGGAATGCTCACTTGTCCTACAAAGGCAAGGAAAGAACTGAGAAGTAGGGTGTAAGGTTTGTCATTGGTATACAAACAACGGAGGTGTTTTTTTTTTTTTACATAATCTTATTAGAAAACTATATAATTTTTAATAATTGCTTTCTTAAAAGACTACTAATCCATTAACAATATTAAGGCCCTGAGAACAAGTCAAGTGCAATTCAGTGGGACCCAGGATTGTTCTAGAATTGTTCCATCTGCTAAAACATTGTACCTTAGATCAAGGTCCAGGACCTTCCACATTTTTTATTTATCCTGTGTTCTCAATTACCTTGCAATTTAATGGAAATTTCTTAGCATGGCACAAAGAATTGGTTTCTTGCTCAGCTCTCCAAACTCATCTCTCACTTTTTTTTTCCTTCTTGAATTCTTTGCTTCCTTCACTTACAACTAGCTAGCAGGTGAGCTAAGCGTTCCCATCTTCCTTCTTAGGCACAAGCAGCAAGCAGCCTTTCCTCTTACCTGGCCAGCCCTGGCTTGTAGATCCTTCAAGGGATTGTGCTTCCTTATCCCCACGGTCGGTACATAACGGGTTCTGTTTGGTGAATTTCCCCCTCCCCAAAAGGTTTAATTTTGGCTTATGTGCAGCCTATTCTGTCTGTTCCCCGTAATTCCTGTAGAAATTGTTTCAGTGTGGGAGTAGGAGGGAATTAAGGGCGAATAGTCACTTCCCCACATGAGATTCCAGAACAGAGATCTGACCTGTTAGGTGATTGCAGAAGAGGAAGTTGAGGCCCACCTGCCTTTCGGTGGGCTAAGTTGTGCTTTGAAGTGTGGGGTCTCAACACGGGACATTCTCCGGATTTAAGAGTAACTGGTGAGGTGGTGCAGGGTGTACGGATGGATCAAGAAAGAAATCGGGTAAAAACAGGCTAATGCTTAACATTTCTAGGTCGAGAAAAGGAAGCAGAGCTGAGGTGGGTCACCTTCATCTCTCCCTTCCAAACGGGACAGACGGTAGCGCCGTTGTTTCAACAATCGTCTGCTTTGTTCCAAGACGAGCTGGTTAATGCCCATGAGCTAATGTGGTGTCAAGAGACCGTGTCCTGCCGGCCTTTGCGCACGGGAAGTTTCCAAGCGCCCGGGGGCGGCTCACTTCCGCCGGGCCTGGCAGGAGAGCCCCACTCCCTGCCGCCGCCTCGCCCCAGGCCAGGGCACCGGGTCTGTGGGACCCCAGCGATCAGAGCGAACTCTCAGGGCCGGCCCCGGCGCCAGAGACACAACTTGATCCCGGCGCCGTCCGGCAGCCGCAGCCTCCTCGCAGTCCCAGCGTGTTCGGAGGCTGTTGGCAGGGGCCCCGCCGAGCGGGGGAGGGCGGCACCGCGGGGATGGCCGCCCCGCGCCCCGCGGACGTCGGCGCGCCCCGCGGTCGCCCGCAGCGGCGGAGCCGAGTCTCCGGGGCTCGGGTCCCCGCCGCCCGCCCGCGGAGCCCGCGCACGCCGCGCGGAAGCGGGTGGGCGGCGAGAGGCGGAGCGAGGGCCGCGGGGGCGTGGACGCGGCGGGCTCTGGACGCGCCCCAAGTTAATGAGGCGTGCGCCGGCCGCGGAGCGCCTCTCGGAGCTGGGCTTTCCCCCGCGGGGCGGGCGCCGGGAGCCGCCTTTTCCGCTGGGCGTCGCTCGGGGATTGGGAGGGTGGCCCATTCAAAAGCGCCGCGAGGAGGCCCGGCCAGCGTCCTTCAGTGAGCGCTCGCCAGAGGACGGCGGCGGCTCGGCGGCGCGCGGCTCCCGGACCTGGTGGCGCATCCGGACGCGGCTGCCCCCCTGTCCCGACCCCGAGCTGCCGCCCGCGCCGCTCTGCCTCCTGCGCGTGAGCCTCCTCTGTGCGCTCCGGGCGCGCGGCCGCGGGCGCCGCTGGGGCGAGGACGGCGCGCGGCTGCTGCTGCTGCCCCCGGCCCGGGCGGCTGGAAGTGGAGAGACCGGGCCGAGCGGCGGCTCCCCCTATGCCGGGAGGATGCTGGAGAGCAGCGGCTGCAAGGCGCTGAAGGAGGGCGTGTTGGAGAAGCGCAGCGACGGGTTGCTGCAGCTCTGGAAGAAAAAGTGCTGCATCCTCACCGAGGAGGGGCTGCTGCTCATCCCGCCCAAGCAGTTGCAACAGCAGCAGCAGCAGCAGCAGCAGCCTGGGCCGGGGCCGGCCGAGTCGTCCCAACCCGGAGGCCCCGCGGTGGCCGGGCTGGAGCCACCGGTCAAGCTCAAGGAATTGCACTTTTCGAACATGAAGACCGTGGACTGCGTGGAGCGCAAGGGCAAGTACATGTACTTCACGGTGGTGATGGCTGAGGGCAAGGAGATCGACTTTCGGTGCCCGCAGGACCAGGGCTGGAACGCCGAGATCACGCTGCAGATGGTGCAGTACAAGAATCGCCAGGCCATCCTGGCCGTGAAGTCCACGAGGCAGAAGCAGCAACATCTGGTGCAGCAGCAGCCTCCGCAGCCGCAGCAGCCCCAGCTGCAGCCCCAACCCCAACCCCAACCCCAGCCGCAGCCCCAGCCTCAACCCCAGCCGCAGCCCCAAGCCAAGCCTCAGCCCCTGCCGCTCCACCCGTATCCGCAGCCGCACCCGCACCCGCACCCGCTGCCACACGCGCTCTCGCACCAACTCCCGCACCCGCAGCCGCTCTCGCAGCCGCACGGCCACCGGCTTCTCCGCAGCACCTCCAACTCCGCCTGAAGGGGGCAGCTCCGGGCCCGACAGGTGAGGTCCTGCCACTCGGGCTGCCCAGGGCCACGCCGAGGAGTGGGGCGCGGGGAGCGTGGGAGGCGTGGGAAGCCTGTGCGCGGGTTTGGCTCTTCGGTGGAAAAATGAGAAATTTTTCCAACTTTTGCGGGGCGGTGGAAAGAGGTGGGGGGGGGGAAGCAAGCGGGAAACCGGGGAGGCCGAGCAGAGAGGGAGGCCTGGGGGGGCTTCAGCCCCGCGGGGTGGCCTCGAGGACCGCTCCCCGCCGCCCACCCGGACCCCAGCGGGCTCAGCTGGGCGCCCTCCGCGGGGCCGGCGCCGCGGGGCGGGTGTCTGGCGCTCGAGGGAGCCACGCTAGTGTCCTGCTGAGCTTGCTTTGTCCTCTGGACAGGCCCGCGGAGTACTGGGTCTTGGAGGATCCTGAGCCACCACTTTAATTCTGTTTCATTTCTTTCCAGCTTTTGAGGACTTGAGGAAGTGGGACGAGCACATTTCTATTGTCTTCGCTTGGATCGGAAACAAAACTGTCTCTCTCTCTCCCTCCCCGGCACCAGATCAAGTACTTTGGACATCACGCGACTTGACGATTCCGCTTAGTTTTCTGCAAACTCTTGGTCACAATGCAGAAAACGATTCAGAGTCCAGAAGGCTTTTATTTATGAACATTCGAAAGGATCTTCCAGTATGGTGGACCTTCTAGGAGCGATGATGTACTGTAATTTTATTTTAACGTATTTTGATTTATGTTTATTTATTAGTTTTTTTTTTTAAATGCTTGTTCTAAGACATTTCTGAATGTAGGCCATTTTCCAAAAAGGAAACTTCATTTTCAAAAACCTATTCCCTAGTAAGTTTCAGTCTTGGAAAAGAAAAAAAAGTGAAAGGATGGTGGAGGGGAAAAACATTAAGAATCCATTCATTATTCCTAGGGCATTTTCAGAAGATCTGACACTTTATTGTTATGCCAGGTGGTTGAAATTAAACTCTGTGATATTACTTTTTTTTGAGATTTTTTTTTTCCTTAGACATAAGTTCTGTGTAGAATAGACATTTAAAGAAACTAAATGTTCATAATTGTGTAGTTATGAAAATCTTGTTGCTTTTCTAAAAGGGAATCAGTAGTAATGGTATCTGATTCAAAATATTTAAAACAACCAAATGGATGACAGGGTGGTGATATCTGGAATATATGGTAAGACTGATCTAATATAGGAAAAACCTAGCTTTTTATCATCTCTGTGAAGGGTTCAATAAGATTTCTGAGTATGAACACATAGGTGTTTCATTTAAAAAAAAAAGTGATTTATGGGGGCGGGAATCATTCAACTCTTTTGAGAAAACATCTGTGTTCTTATATGTACTAGAGATTACCCTTCTGCAAGAGCTTTGCACACTACACTTGAGCCACATTTTCTGACTCTTTTACTTGCTCTAGAAACCTACTCTAGAATCTCATAGGATACAATTTGTAAATATTTCAAAGGACTAGAAGTCATAACTTTTGTTTTCATACAGAAAATAATGCTCATCAGAGAAACTAACTTGTGCTTTTTATAGCTCTGGGAGAAATTTGAGGGGTATATGTTTTGTTGTTAGGTTACCTAAACTCAGAAATTGAAAGAGGAAGGACTGGATAAACACTGAATTTTCAGTAAGAAAACAACCCCAGTCTTGTTTTAACAGCCACTGGTTCAGGAGTCGGGGGAGGGGAGACCATGTGCTTTTAAAGGTAGAACAAACCCTCTTCTGTTTTAAATCAAAAGGATGGTCAAAAATCCACAAGGGCAGATGCGACTTAAGTTTTTTTAAGAAGGCATAGATGATACCAAATCCTCTTGGGACTGAAAATCACTTCCTATCTGCAAGGCTTTAACTAATGGGGTCTTTGTTTTCCATTATCTCTTTCACAAAGTCTTGATCAGTATTTTTCCAGCATCTGAATTGGAATGGCCGGAAAAGTCCACAGCTGAGTTACACAGTCAAAAAGTGGAAATGGAATTTCATGGTAGAGATGTCTTTATTCTCCCTCAGTGTAGAAAAGAATCTTAAGGTCAAATTGCATTTTAGTGTAATATTTAAATGATGACATTTTGAGATCTTGACTCTAACCCCAAAAGTCATGGGGAAAGGTAAAACTCGTGAAATAGCAAGCAAAACATAAGTGGACTTCCACTTTCAAGGGGCTGTTTTAGTTGCATTTGTGAAATATGCTGCAAAAATTGAAAAACTCATATTTATGATGAGCAGCTCAGAAAGATAGATCTAGAGTTCTTAAGTTGGATTGGACTTCTTTGGAAGTACTACTGTACTTTTTAGATAATGTCTCATTGTACTGTAGTCTTAATATATGCAGATCATATCCTATAACCTCAATTAAACCACAGGATTTTTTTCCCAGATGGATGGAGTGATTTTTTTTTTTTTTTTCAAATTCTTGTGCTTAAAAAAATTAAGCCCATACCAAATACTATTCAAGACAAGGTTCATGTAGGACTTTAAGGCATTTGCATATTGTTAGCTTGCATCTAGGCCAGATAGTGTCCTTGGGGGAAAAAAATACGGCCAGGCCCTCTCTTCGCTACTGGAATTTTTTTTTTCTGGCTACCATTATTAAGGGGGCCACCAGAATCATAGTTCCTTGACTTTCCATAGTTTTATTCTTTGGTCTGCTGTGATAATTATGTTGAGTTTGGCTCCCTAGTCTGAATCCCTTTTAGCATTCAACTGTGAAACCTCAGAAATTAGAAAAGAGAAAAGTAGGATTTTTTTTCGTTTGACACTTTGAAATTATTTTGACTTACTAATTTTTCCAGAACAGGCACTTCTCTTCCCAAGCCTGCCCACCTGTATCTGTGCAGATGACTCCCTTTCCTTTCTCCTTTTCCTAATAAAACTGCCCTTTTAAAATGTAAAGAAAAGTTTTTTTTCCAGAACAAAAGAAAAGCGTGCTTAACAAAACTCAACAAAACAAAATACAAATGCAAATCTTTTAATGTGTCATTGGCTCTCTTCTACCTCTAAGAAGATGGTGCAAACCATCTAAAGCATTATGAGCTTGACAAATTACGTTCCAATGGCAAGATGTAAAAATACTTTTTGCAACTCAAGAAAGGGCAGGTCCAATAGAAAACCCATGCCTAAGTAAAATGTAAAGAGTTGAAAAATGAAAAGGAATGTCCCACTGGAAATTGAACTTTTGTCCTTCAACTTTTGTTGGCACCAAGCCTGGAATGCAGTAAGCTCAGTAACTTATTTGTTGGGAAAAATGAATGAAAGAAGGAAAAACTATGACTCCCTAGCACTTAAGGAGGTGGGTTGTCATGAATTGAAAAGCGCCTCCTTTGCTCACTCTGTTCTCTGAGATCATCTAATACTGGGATAGGTTAAGCATCCTGACGGAGTATCTTGGACATTCGTTACGTTCTTAGCGGAAATCCACATAAAACTATATTCTGCAGGGGGTGCTGAGGTCAGAGAGTAAGTAGCTATAAAGGACCTATTCAAAATGAATGGGTTTTCTTCCCTCAGAAGAAGGTGGGGTTCTCTCCATGATGTAGAAATCAAACTAACTTTATTTTTTTTTTTTTTTGTTTTTTTTTTTTGTTTTTTTTTTTTGCTTTGTTTATACAAGCACTGGGTACAGTCAGAAGCGCAGGAGGGTGAGAGAATTCACCAGAGCCAGAGCGGGGAGCAGAGCAGGCAGAAGGACCGAAGTACACTGCTGAGGGGTGCAGGGGGTGGCAGGAGAGGTCTGCGCGCCATGTGGGACCCTCCTCCGGTGTCCGTGGAGCAGCCGGGGATCGAACCGGTGCCGCAGAGGCCGGGGGCAGCTTCGCAACCCAGCGCTCAACCGCTGCGCCACCGGGGAGGCCCACTTTATAATATTACTTAACATGTTTTTGCGAAAGGAAAAATCAAGCTAAGGCATTCCAAAAATGAGTTCCTTTCAAAATGCATACACTGTCAGGACAGCTGGACTTAAGTTGAAAAGTTTGTTTTAAACTCATTACTCCTATATCAAACACTTAAAAACCCCTCATTTAAAATCTGACACTGCACAAGTTTGTGGCCAGTCTGTGAGCTCAAACTTTACTCACTTTTTGTCCTAGGGAGAGTGGCTTAGTTTTAACTTGGCTCCAGGTGTCTGCAATGTCATGTTCAGGCTTAGAAGAGGGTTCTAAGACATGAAACTGGAACAGTCCCAGAAAACATAGAACTTTGTAGAATGAAGTTGGGTCTCTGAACATTTGTTTTCTTTTTGTTTTGTAAATGTCTAATTGGTTTTTGGTTTATCGATAAAATGCTCTTGGCAAAATAAAATTTTAAATTGGGCAATTATAGAGCTTGATCCATCAGTGTTTTTTCCAAAAGAAATACACCTACCTACTTCTAAAAAAGCAATCCAAGATATATTCCATGGAATTGTTTAAGAGCTATTTTCTAAATTTTTGACTTGATAAAGGGTCATTTTTGACTTTTTTGAAAAGCAGTATTGAATAGCCACTCCAGATTTATATAAGATTGGATGATAAGATAAACTGTGACTTTGTTGGCAGACATCTGCCAAGTGGTGTATAAGCTCCAACAGGGTGTTCATAGGAAGGGCATTATTGTCTAATGAAGGAAGCAGAAGGACTTCTGATCATTAAAAATATCTGAATAAAAACTGGAGTGACCTACCCAGATCTGCTCTGAAGTTGGCCTCCTGGTGGAAAAGGTTTTAACAATTGGTGGTCCTTCCAAAGCACTGTATTTAGTTTGGGAAGGTTCTACAGGGCTTCGCTGTCATAAAGGTATTTATTCCCCTTCTGGGAAGAAAAGGACCATTTTTGAGATTGGGAATTCATTTTTAAAAAATTACCCAGGAGGGCCTCCCCTGGTGGTGCAGCGGTTGAGCACTGGGTTGCGAGGCTGCCCGCAGCCTCTGCAGGGACAGTTCGATCCCCGGCCACCGGCGAGGGTCCCACACAAAAAAATAAATAAAAATAAAATAAAAAATTACCCAGGAATTTTAATAAATAATATAGAAATTGACTCAGATCCATTGATGAAATAATGAACTCTCAGAATACAATGGATTGGAGTTGAATTTACCACAGTACTCAAGAGAATGAGGAGTAGTCCTAGTGCGATAGCTTGAAGGCAGTTCCCTCTTGAATTCCAGAGAGATTTGAAATCTCCTAGGTCTCTTGAGAGGCTAAAGCCTCAACTCTTCAAACAGGTTCCTTTCACGTTTCCGGTTTTAAGTTGAGAGCAGAAGGAGGCTTGATGTTTAAAGGACAGCAGCATAATGTTACTCTTACAGTCTCCACTGGTATGGCCAAGCCTTTAAATCGTAACACTTTAAAATAAGAAATTTGAAGCAATTGTCTGTCCCGTAACATAGTTTCACACTAACATCTTTTTCATTCTACTGTTGTATTTCTTTCTTTTTAAAGAAATGAAATTTGAGAGGACAAATAGCTGCCATTGCAGTGTCTCTGCAAGTACTGTGTGAAATAAATGTGTGCAGTCGGTGGTTTAAGTTGTTAAGAGTCAGGATTTGAGAGTCATAGTATAGCAGAGCCTCAAATAACATCATTTCATTCAGTGTCAGTTTGTTATAACACTGATAAGAAAAAATAAATATATCTATTCCTGGCTAGGGCCACTGTTTGTGCGGAGTTTGTATGTGTTCCAGGGCCTCTGGTTTTCTCCCACTTTCTAAAGATTTATACATTAGAAAATTTGGGGTATCTAACTGCGTGAAGTTCCCAGTATGAGTGTGCTATGGAAGGATCTCCTGTCTAGGTTTAAGTACCTGCTTGTGCCCTGAGCTGCTGCAATAAGCTCCAGCAACATTTTAACCCTGAACTGGGATATCTGGGTTGGAAAATGGTGGAAGGAAGGAAGAAATACAAATTGATTGTTTATTATTAGAAGCACTTTGGAATTTTCTTTAGAAGTTTGGTGATGCTTTTAGGATCAGGAATATGCAGTAGGAACTTATCTCTTGTTTTTATCAACTGGTCTATGGTAAAATTGATTTTGTTATGATCATTTCACTTAAATTTAAAGTTTTGAGGAATCCATCAATGACATTGAAGTCTTATTGTCTGTCTGTCTATCTGTCTATCTGGAATCACATTAAAACAACATTGCAACTGTCCATAATTATTGACATAGGAAAACCTGTTGCCACATGAGTCTATTCAGCAAGATTAGAATAAAGACTAGAAAAAAGATAAGAACAAGACAAGTTCTTACTTGCTTTGTTTCCAACTCAAAGACTTTCCTGGACCCTCACACATAGAAAGGCTCCTTGGTGAGAATGTTCTGGAGCCCTGGTCTTACTTGCCTACAAAGTGAGTCTGGTTATCAAAAATGGTGCAGGTGTGCACCAGAGGGCTTTGGAAATTTAGGTCATCTGGGCTTTCCTTGATCTGAGGGTGGTTTTGAATCTGATTTTATCTTGAAGGGATTCTTAGGACCTGAGGCTAGAGAGCCTCTCTTTGTTACTCCTTGGTGCAGTCAGAATTACCTGCTTTGGTGTAGGGTGGATGTGGGAGTGGTTTGCTCTCTGCCAGAGCATTTACCTGAAGCATCTGATGTTTAGTTAGAATCCGGAAATGAAAATTTGAAAAAATAGTAGATGCGGTTAGGTTGCTTATACTCAAACCCTGCCAAAGTCATTGATAATAGAGTGAGCAAACACGCACTACAGTCCCTTAAGACCAGAGAGCCTGTGCTTCCGCACCAACTGATAAACGAATATTCAACTCTTGTACAGAAAGAAACAGGAAATGACTCTTGAGGAGTTTCGAGGTTTTAATTATGTCACCATCCTCCGCTGGCTTTCTCCTGGCACTGATAGTTCATACAGTTCAGTTCCTAGTGAAGACAGCAGCTCAGTTATTTTGCAAGCGTTTTGAACTTTGTTGCAGCAAATTCTACTGAGTAATAGGGCTTACCCTGTCAGGATTGACTCATCACCTGAAAAGAACAGACAACTTGGTGACTAATCCCAAAGAAGTCAAAATTGTAGCAGTGTTAGGTATATTTGTTTTCTAGATTTTAGCTGCCAAAAAAATGTTCATTTTTTACAAAGTTTGCTTGTAGTTTGTAAACACATACCTGTTTTTCTGTTTGTTTGTCTTAATTTTTGTGTAGAAGAACTGGAATATAGGCCAGAGGTGCTGGATGAGAGGATTCACCAGGGACAGAGTGGGGAGCAGAAGAGGCGGATTGACTGAAACACACTGCTGAGGGGAGCAGCGGGAGAGACAGGAAAGGTCTGCTGCACCATGTAGGTCACCTCCCCGCCTGGGAATTGGACTCATGCTGCAGTGGCTGGTGATAACATGAGAGCGCTGAGACTTAACTCGTAGACCACCAGGAAGCCCCAGTAGATACCTGTTTTTAATAATCTTTCCATGCAGCCTCTGTGTGTGCCTCTGTAGACACAGACATAGACAGACAGACACAGACACATAGAAAGACACATAGACAGAGAGACACATAGACAGTCACAGACACATTGACACAGATGCAGACACACATAGACATAAACATATATTCACTTTTCGCGCTCTTATCTTTCATGGTTCATGCAGGTGGGTCAATCCTTTGCTGTGGAACTTGACATCTGGACAGAACAGGCTTTTTTAGAACTTTGAGCATCTGGTTGTGGGGGTTAGCCCTATTCTGCATAAAGCCCTTTAGAAAGCAGTGGACTGTGGCGGTGCAAGGCCCCTCTTACTTCCTGATGCTGTGTTTCAGTCTCATGAGAGGAAAAGACTCCAGTCTCAGTGGGAGAAGAATTCAGTAACTTACTTTTAGTTTATAACAGCAAACGAGATTCTTCAGGTACATATTACATATATATATATATATATATATATATATATATATATATATATAATGTTTGCAGCCTTGAAAGTGAATTTGATTCTTGCCACAATGCACTGGTTTGCTATAGAATAGTTGTAATCACTGCCAAGAGTTCTAATTAAATCCTTCATGCCTATAATACAAAGTGCCAGGTAACTACTAGGAGACTTGAGTTGCTTGGTTGTCTAAACAGCTGGTAGGTCCAGGTTTGTATTTGCTTTCTCTATAATAGTAGTCGGTAATACCTCTCTTCTACCATATAAATGATGAATTTGAGACCAGAGATGAAAATGCAATTTTAGGAGTTCAAGCAAAGACTTGTTCATCCCTCCATTTTTTGTAGAGGAAGAAAATGAAACTAAGAGGGCCAGTGATTTGCCCATGATCACAACCTATAAGAATTAGTCAAAGACAGAATTAGAACACAAACCCAGCTCCCTAGATTCTTGATGAATGCTCTTTCCACTGATGCACTCCTTTATATGTCATGGAAGATAATTTACATACATCCAAGATTCTTGCAAATAATTAGTGGAAGCATTCAGACATCATCTTTTCTCCCCCAAAAGTATAAACTTAAAAAAATTATTTATTAATTGATTTTTCCATTTTAAAAAGACAGCTTTATTTAGAGAAAGAAAGAAAAAAAAGAGACACCTGCATAGACACAGATGGGCAGTATTGGGAGGAGAGCTCCCCAATGTATAAATTTTAATTTAAACTTATATAAGCCATCTCCTTCAGGGGTTTATAAATATTGAAAACAAGCTGTTTAATTTGACAGTTAAAAAAAAACTTGTGACTTAGATCTTCGAAATATAATGCAAGTGGTGAGTTTACTCAAACCTAAAGCGAGAGGAAAATTTACAAACGAAAGCAGATCTATATTTTGAAACGCACATATTTTAAAATATGGTTATTAGAAAAAAAAATATGGTTATTAGAATATATTCTTTCTCAAACTTTATTAAAATCATTTATTTGGAAACTGGGTTAAGAAGCTGTTTGGAATTTATCACAATTCCTAAAATATTCATGGAATGTTTCCAATCTTACTGGTCTTGGAGTTATCTCTGGAATCAAAAAATGTAGAAGTGCTCTGAATGTTTACACAGTTACTTGGGGAGGTAGCTGACTGACTCTTACTTTCTTGTAGGTGTCAGGAGAATATTATCTGAAAATGAGTTTGTGGAGGGTAACAGATTTATGGGCATTCATGAGATCCTAACATAGGGATGGTAAAACTTGTTACTCCCCTTCCAGGAAAGAAACTAAGAGAATGTAACTCACTAGCTCAAAATTCAATAATAAATAACCGTGCATGTCCTACTAAAGACATTAAATACCCTACTGGACAACCTGGGGAAGATTTCAGAACTTGTACCTTTTAAAGAGAGGATGGGGAGGAAAAAGGAGAGGGATCCCTAATAAGTATTTATGCTCCAGCAGCCAGTAAACCAGCTTTTAATTCACTATTATGTGTGTGTCCTGGGTGATGCCATTATTTCCTCTTACATAAAATGACCTTTTACAGGACCTCATTCATGGCGCTTGGCTCCCTCCCGGAGTCACAGCACTTGTCACAAGGCAGCGGGTTGCCTGCTTGTTCTTATGCAAGTGATGACTGGGGGAGCTTGATAGGGGGTGATGCTGACAGCCTCTCTCTGACAGCAGATTGTCAGCATTCTTGACCCGGGCATTCATGAGCCTGAGAAAACACTTTGATTTCTATGTGGCTTTAAAAAATAAGATCCAGTTGAATCTATGGCTATGTAAAATAGGTGCTCGGAATAGTTTTTGTGGGATTAGCTGGTTCTCCCACGTCCCCTAAACAAATTCTTGACAGTGTTCTGGTGGTAATCAGGATAGCCTCATATCTGCAAGCATTTAAGTTGACATATAAAATCAGTATCCCTACTTCAAACTTATTACATAGAAATTAACATATATAAACAGGGAGGAGAGACAAAGAGTGTTTGTGAATTAAAAGTCTGGAAAGAATCATGTATGAAAGGACAGTGTGTGAATTGTAAGGGGTAGGGACAGGAGTTCATCCTGATAGGCAAGGAGTAGGGGTGCGGCTAGATCTTGGCAAACCTGGCAAATGAAGAGATTGTACAAGAGAACAGAGGGAAAGTGAAGGCATTTTTCTAAAGAATCCTTCAATTCATGCTTTCCATAATTACCAGTGAAAGTTTTCCTTTTATGGAGAATAACCTTTACTCAGGATGCGCAATTCCTACGGACCTTTAAGGCTTTGTTTTTTTCCCTTAACAAATGATTAAAAATATCATTTTTAAAATGAAGATTATTTTAGAAGAAAAGAGAAATGAAGTATTAAGCTTTCTTTTCTCGTTTGAAGACTGATTATCTCCTAAATGAGTCTCTGAAAAAGGAAATCAACTTAGAATAAAGTGAAACTTTTTTGAATTTTTGTATAGGTTCAAATCTCTTAAGAAATATTTTTTGTAATTTGGCTTGAGTTTGAAAAGCTGACGTTGATTAGGTTACTTCCTCCTAGGTCCTAACCCTATAATAAGGGGTGGAGTAATCATACTTTTGTAGGATTTATATGAGGAATCAGTTCGGGCAAGATAACTCTTTCTGTTAAAAATTATTTTATTATACCTGATGGCAGTATCCCAATACTACCTCAGAAATAATTAATAAAAACTATTTTATTAACACATCTTAAAACTGGTTGCTGATTCACATATAGATAAAACAATACATATTTTTATATCAAGAATCAGGAAATACAGATACTTATGTAAAAGCTACAACTATTTTTCTAGGTTTTATTATCAGTGATTAATAAGCCTGATTCCACTCAGTGCATTAAACTAAAAGTAAACTTAAAATTACTTTTTCTTTAAAAGATGAGTTATGTTCAAGGCATAATGGCAGGCATAGGGGGCTACAAATAGGAGAAATATGTAAGGTTTACTTTCAAGAAACTGAAGTCTGGGGAAGAAAAGACGTAATATTACCGGGGGTGTAGTTCTAATCATCGTAGTTAATAGAGTATTAATAGCAGTAGTAGCAACATTTATTGTGTATTTACCAAATGTCAGGTCCTTTACCACATGTTTTTTATGAATTATCTTTTTTGTGTGAAGATTTATTTTATTTTTAAATTTTATTTATGCATACAAGAGCTGGGGTACAGGCCAGAGGTGCGGAGGGTGATAAGATTCACCAAACAGAGTGGGGAACAGAACAGGCAGACTGACCAAAATACACTGCTGAAGGGAGCAGCGGGTGAGACAGGAGAGGTCTGCTGCGCCATGTGGGTCACCTCCCTGACCAGGGATCGAACACGTGCTGCAGAGGCTGCAGATAGCTTCACAGTGCTGTCCTCAACCCCTTGCACCACCAGGGAGGCCCTAAGAAATTAATGTTTTTAATGTTACAACACCTACAGTTCTTTTCCCTCCTGGAAAGTCTGTGTCTATTTAGGCAAAACATCTAGAAAGGTCTCCAGTAACCACAATGTCTGCCAAGGAGCATCCCTATCTCATCACCTCTTTATTGCAATCTCCTGGAGCCACAGACAACAAAAATCTCCATTAATTTACAAAATCATCCGGTCTTTTTTAATTCTTTTTCCCCCCTCCTTTAGGAAAAAGAAAGATGTGCCATTTTGTATACTTTTGTTTGTGTGTGTGTTTGTTTTAGCAGTAGCCTCAACAATAGAGCAACATATTTCGTTAGTCACTCACTTTTTTAGTCTTCTTTTTCAGTCCTTAAAAACACTAGCTGGAATTTCTAAAGGAGGGAGTCTTCCTTTTCTGGTTTTTTAAAGATTTATTTATTTATTTATACAAGCACTAGGTACAGTCAGAAGCGCGGGAGGGTGAGAGAATCCACCAGAGCCAGAACGAGGAGCAGAACAGGCAGAAGGACCGAAGTACACTGCTGAGGGGAGTAGTGGGCATGGCAGGAGAGGTCTACGTGCCATGTGGGACCCTCGCTGGCCAGCCGGGGATTGAACCAGTGCTGCAGAGGCTGCAGGCAGCTTTGCAGCCCAGCGTTCAACTGCTGCGCTTTCAAGGAGGCCCTTTTTTTTTTTTCTTTATTAATGGAAGAAAATGATTTATATTTATTTATTTAATACACATTGATTTAATTTTTTTCTTTTTCTGAGTTTAATTTTGTTTCTTTAATTATTTGTTTATTTCTTATATCATTGTTCATTTTTAAACAATATTTGCCTCCCCCAACTCCCTCAGGTATGGTCCCCATAGAGTTTCCTTCCCCAATGCACCGGTGCACCATCACCTCAGTCCCTTGTGCTTCTCCCTCCCTCCCTCTAACCCCTCTCCCTCCTCCTTCCCTGCAGTATGTCTCTGATTTATAATTTTCTGTTTTTGTTTTGCTGTATTTTGTACTGTTATTATTTTTTCATACTGATGTTTTATTTGATTCCCCTATATTCCTGTTATAAGTGAAACCATCCAATATTTTTCTTTTTCCTTCTGGATTATTTCGCTGAGCATAATTCCTTCCAGCTCCATCCACGTTGCTGCAAATGGCATGAGTTTATCTTTTTTGATGGCTGAATAATATTCCATGGTGTATATATGCCACATCTTCCTGATCCAGTCATCTATTTTTGGGCATTTGGGTTGTTTCCAGGTTTTACCTATTGTAAATAGTGCTGCAATAAACATAGGGGTGCAGGTGTTCTTTTGAATAAATGTTTTGTTCCTTTGGGTACAGCCCTGGTAGTGGAATTGCCGGGTTGTATGGTAGCTCCATTTTTAGTAGACTGAGGAACCAGGAGGAGGCTTCTTTTATTTTCATTGCTTGACAGTCCAATATGCCTTCAACTCAACCTCCTCCCACTCCTATGTAATGAAAACTGTACAATGAAACCTCCTGATCAAAGTCTGATTATTTGCTGAATTTGGAATGTATTCTTCTAACATAATCTAGAATTATTCTTTACACT